AGCTTCTGAAATCAAATGGTGTTGACAAATACATCTTCACGAGAGCCATCTTCCATTAAGTTCCGGTGAATTTAAGAGAAACATAATTTCAGGGGATTTAATGGGATGGTAAAAATCTCAACCTACGGAATATTAAACCTCCAGAGAATTTACTGTGTTGTTCCGTTTGCTCATAGTAGAGCATGATCGCTTTAGCATAAATTCCGAACATTTCCTCCATAAGGTGATCATCAACTACTGATTGCTAGCCCGAACCATTAATGCAGAAATGGAAATGTCTAGAAACCACGTGCGAAAGCCTAGCAGCTGACAATAGAGACACCACACCAGGGACCAGCGTCGGGGTGTCGGAAGGCCCCGGGCCAGGGCTGAGCCCTGCATTGCAGGGTGCGTCAGGGCAGAGAAACCCCCGACCCTCCTCTCACCCGTCTGCTTGCAGCCCTGTGCAAACAGGCCACCGGGCTCTGCGGTCGAGAGCAGCAGTGACACACGGAGGAAGGCCGTCCCCGAACACAGCTGTTGCGGGGTCCCGGTTGTCACGCTGGGGGCCCGGCAGAGCGTGTGGGGCCCCAGCGCCCACGCGAGCCAGCGGTCCCGGGTGGGGAGGGGTCCCCGCATCTTGCGGAGCAGGGAGTGAGTACTCATGGCCCTGAGGATGTGGGCTTTGGGTTCCTCGAGCTGGTTTGAATCCTCCCTCTGCCCTGTGACCTTGAGCCAATTCCGGAAGCTTCTTGAGCCTCCTGTTCTCTCACCAAGCGAAGGCTGTAGCAGTTCCCGACTCGTGGGGCTACTGAGATGGACTGAGTTAATATAAGGAATAAGCTGATTTACAGTAAGTGCTTGAAAAATGTTAGCAACTGTTATTAGTTTTTATTAGTGTTTACCAGTTACTCCGCCTGGCGCGTGTGTGTGTTTTATTGTGCCACGTTCCGTGCCGGTGGGAAGGGGGGAGGGGTGTGAAACGGTCCCCAGGGCCCGTGTGCGCCCCTGTCTCTCTGCTTTCCACACCTTCCCTTGCGTGCCCGTCCCCACCACTGCAGGGGCGGTCCGTCCGGAGAAGAACGGACCACTTACCTCGTCGGAACGTGCGGCACCTGAACTAGACTCCCTCCCGGCACAGTCAGGAATGTCCAGGTCGATGGTCAGCTAGCTAAAGCACACTGCCAACACAAGAGCTGGGCTGCCAGAGCCCCCACCTGCGCCTGTGCTCAGCAGAGCGGCCAGCCCTCTGCGGCCCTTGGCCAAACCCGGCTGGCCAGCGCCTTCGTGGATTCAGCTGTCGCTCGTGTGCACCTCGCCTAAGGCCACTGTCTGGCCCCGGTGCAACAGCACGGCTGTCAGAGCCCTTGTCTGCGAACTCGCTGTGGTAGCCCCACAGGGTGGGGGGCAGGCTGCCTTCTGGTTCCTCGACCAGCCCTCCCCCTGGGCCTCTGTGAGCCTCCAGGTCGCGAGCCAGCAGGTACCACCGCCGTGCATCAGCCCTTCCTGCGCCCACACGGACACCCAGACCGGGGTCTTCGTATTGCTACTCGGCTGCCTTTGTGTGCGGGTCTGTGCAGCTCACTGAGCTGTGACATCCTGGAGGACAGGACTGTGGTTCTGTTTTTCTCTACCTTTGTCTCTGGTCCGGGGCCTGGCACGCAGCCAGCCTTTCACACAGGAGGGAGCACGCAGTGCACATGCTTAGAAAGCGCGACGCTCGCACAGTGCGTGCCAGTGATGCCAGCCCTGCACAGGTGCTGCCCGGCGGGTGCTCTCCGAGGGGTGCGTTCTGCCCCCGTCTCCACGGGGTCAGATTTCAGAGGTACGGGAGGATCTGGGCTTTTCTGAGTTTCTGTGTTGGGCGTTTTCACTTGTCCTGCCTGCTGCGACGCCCCAGCACTCTGAGGTCACCCAGCAGTGTGAGCACGGGGGTGCGTGGGGAGCTGTGTGCGGACAGTGGGTGCCCGGGCCGTGCTGGGTGACAGGCGTGTGCACGGAAGCATCTGCTCTGCCTGTGCCCACAGACAGGCTGTCCTGCCTCTCGGGGGGCCGGGGCCCTGGAGCCACCAGAGGCTGCACTGAGAGAGGCCTCTGTTCCCGGGGGCTGCTCAGAACTCAGGGCTCTGTACTGAGTGGGGGGGGGGGGGGGTATAATGAATGAGGAGAGAAGGGCAGAGAGAGGAGGAGGGCTCGGTCAATACGCAGGTCCCAAACTAGTGTTCTAGGTGGAACTTGGTGTCCGCAGCCCCTCGCCCGGGAAACACGGCAGCCCATAGGTGTCGGTGCACTAACCCGGAGCCTAACCCAGGGCACGGCTGCGGGAGACCCTGCTGCGGTCCAGTGGGTCCTTGGGTGCAAGCAGCAGCCACCGTCAGCTGCACTGAAACTGGGCCTCCTTGGGTTTCTGCCCGCGTCGAGACCCAACTAGACCAGATGCACAGACGATGGGAAAAAGCACCGTTCTGCCTCCCTGGGGCAGGAGTCGGCCCGGCCTCCTTCCTCGGCCCCCGAGTTCCTGATCCGCTGCTCTGACCCCTGCAGTCGGCCTGTGCCGCTGAGCGCAGCGGAGGAGAGCACTCGGGAGACGTGGGCCCTGAGTGCCCAGATCACGGGTCTCGGGGGAGGAACCACACTTTCAGAACCTGAGCCAGAAAACCAGCCTCTCGGGGAGCCTCAGACTGTCCGGCAGGCGGGCCTGCCCTGGAGCGGGCAACGGTCACCCGTGAGCCACCGCAGCAGAATCTCTTCCCCGAGACAGGCCCTTGGGGTGGTGTGGCTGTCCTCCCAGGGCCGCCGTCGGGCGACCCGGCGCGTGCCTGTGGGAAGTGGGGCTGTGCCGAGGGAGGGGAAGCTCCGGCCCGGCTGCAGACAGGGAGCTGGAGTCGGGGGTGTGAGTGCGGGGAATGCCGCCTTAGAAGCCACCTCTGGAGGAAACCCTCGCCCCGGAAGGGGTGAGGAAGCAGCACGTTCCTGCCTTCCTGCTCAGAAGCCGGAGGAAGCCTGCTAACGGACGGACGGCTGAGGAGCTCCTGATTGTCCCTGACGACTCTGCCCGTTCAGCTCCACCAGCGCGTCTCCTTAGGGGCCGGGAGAGGAGGCCTCTCCTGCGCCTTCAGCAGCTGCGAGGGAAGCCCGTGTGCGGTGGCCTTCCGGCGGGGTGGCAGGGTCCCCAGGGTGCCCAGGAGCTTTGCGGCTTTGCTACGTAAGGCGAGAGGCAGGGAGCAAAGCTGCCCGTCTCCCCGACAAGTGCGCGGCCTGGGCTGAAGGAAGACGGCAAAGCACGTCCTCCTGAGACTCGTACACAGTGCGTGTACTTGGTCTGCGGGAACCAGGTCTGCGGGAAAACACCTCGGCCCCCAGTCAGGGGCTGGGCAAACCCGTGGGAAGCTGCAGCAGAGGGAGACTGCCCCCTGCGTCCCCGGGCGGGCTCAGCGGGGTGCTGGAGGAGGTCGCGGCAGCGCGGGAGGCCTTCTTGCTCCCGTTCTAGGTGGGCTGTGTCCCTCGGGCTGGTTTTCCGTGAGGTCAACGGGGAGAGCCTACCCGGACATCTTTGAACTCAAAGTGCCGGTCAGCACCGGGCCAATAAGCAAGGGGCTGCATCTGGCACCGTGTGTACAGCGGCTCTTTGCAGCACGAAGAGAGTCTGAACTGCACTGAGTCTGCCGCTGTGCAGTGTGTGGGAGGAACGAACATGCTGGAGGTGACACAGCGCACTCAGGGCCTTCTCGCCACGGGGGCTGCCGTGTCTGCCCAGGTGCTGGTGACACTGGGCCCCGGAGGTGTTCTCCTTTGTCGTCCTAGTGTCTCACTGGCATCCATCGAAACTCTCCGGGGGGGGGGGGAGGGGGGCGCGGGGGGGAAATGCAAGTAGTTTCCAGAAAAAATTTTTTCATGCCAGGTAGCTGCGTGCAACACTAGGTCACGGGGCGTCTGTGAGTCTGGGGGAGGGCTGTGCAGGGACGTGGGGGAGGGCTGTGCAGGGACGTGTGGGAGGGCAGGGGCAGCTCACGGTGTGTTGTGCACACGGCACGTGCTCCCAGCCTGTGCCGGCCGACCCCACACACAGTTCGGGCGTCAGCGGGAGGGCGGTCCAACTTCTCATTGGCGCACGCACTGACCAGCGCCCCGTTCTCCGTGAACAAGAGCGGACTGACACCGCAGAGAGGCACTGGGGGGGCCTCCCGTCCCAGGCCGCTGACCTGGGGACCCCGCACTGCGGTGGCAGCTGTGTCCTTCCTTGGGGGTGCCGTCTGGATTTGGGGGCGGTCCCTCAAACCACCCCTTTTGCAGTGCTCTTAAAAGTTTGGCACAACACCCTTTCTCCCAAACTTTTTTATTTTTCTTGCCTTAGCAGTGACAGCAACTATGGACCTGAGGCAGAGGAGCAAACCAACCAAACCACCCTTGAGGTCCTTGCCAGGGTCACGGGCAGTCTGGCCAAGGTCACCGAGGACGCACAGTAGGTGAGTCAACGGGGCCGTGAGTGCGAGCGCGCTCTCGCAGAGGCCCTGCCCCTTCCGGAACGGCCTTGGAAGGCCGCGTCTGCGGGCCGCCAGCCGTGGTTCCTGTCGTGCTCACCCCAGACAGCGACGGGTCTGCTCTCGGAGGTTCCTTCACCCACTTTCAGCACGTGTGAGCACACATACACACCCGTCTCTCAGCTGCACATCAGCCCTGACGGTCTCGTGGACGACTTAGACACTGCAGCAGCATCCCCGAGCCTGTGGGCCTGTCTGTCCCCCGCCCCAACCTGGGAGCACAGCATGCACCCCGCCCGCGGCAGAGAAAGCCCGTGGAAAGCCGGCGCGGGAGGGGAAGAGGGCCTGAGACGGTGCCCCTGGGCCCCGGGGAGCAGGGCCAGGAGGCAGGTGTGCGCATCCTGCCGTGCCCCTCCCTTTGTCTCAAGTGTGCAGCTCTTAAAGGCAGGCTGCACACCCTCTCGCGATTTCAAGTATTTTGTTTGGAACACATTATACAATATCCAACTAAAGGTGAGATAATAAAAAACAATAGATGAATTTCATCCCTTGAATCACATTATATTTTGGTGCATTAAAAAAGGAAAAAAGTAAAAGCAACCAGCATAGTAAACTCGGCCTAGAGAAGTGTGAGTGACTGGAAGGGTAACAGATTTCAGAAGTCGTTAAAAATAGCACGAGAGGGTTATACATGGAACAGGTGGAAATTCATATGCACGGAATTGTTTTTTAAAAAATGGCAAAATGTATGGCAAATGTAAGCACATGACTTGGGACTGTGCTGGGTGTCACCGGCTCTGAGTGAAGTCCGTCATAGCCAGGTGAGGCCCGCTGCTTCCTGAGGTCCCTCTGCGGGGCTGGGGGCGGGGCGCCCACCCGGGGAGCTGCTTCGGGGGAAGGCGAGGTGCTGGCCCCCCACGCCCTGCTCCCCTCAGTCTCGAACACGGAAATGGAGCTGGTGAGAGTCGGCTGTTACCGCCCGCAGCGCGGATCACCGCTGGCATCGCTGAGAAGTCTGGGCCCTGACCCGCCCGCGGCCGGGTGGCCCGGATTGCGGAGGCCCCCGAGGAGCGGGCTGCACCCCTCCGACCGGGCGCCGCCCACCCCACGGGAGGGGCCGTCCAGGGTGCGTCACTAGTGCTCATCCTGGCAATGTTGCAACGTGTTTTTTAGTAGACTTTCTTTAAAAATATGTCTTGTTTTGCTGTGTGTGTGTGTGCAGGAATGTCTGTCCTTCGAGCTGGCCGCCACTGTGCCCTGAATTTGGCAGTGCCTGTCGCTCGCGGCTGCCCGCGTCCCGGAACACCGTGCGCTGGCGTCAGAGACGCGGTCCCACGCGCCCCTGTGAGTCCCGCCTGACTCTGATCCGGAGACAAGGTGGTGGTGGTGGTGGCGGCGTGCGTGCGTGTGTGTGTGTGTGTGCTGAGCTGTTTTTTGGAACCCTTTTGTGTTTTCGTAGGAAAAATGACCCTTTGATCACTGCACGGAGTCCAGCCCTCCGCGAGTCCCTATAAAACGGACTCCATGTTCTCACACCACTCATGGTCTTCCAGGTTATAGATAAACTTTGTCCTATGCGTCTGGTTTGCGGGCACAGGGTCCCTCCCCGGATTGTCTAGGGTCAGAGTAGAGGCAAAGAACTCACTGGTGCTCAGCCCGCCCTCGTGGGTTTTGATGTAGCGTGTATAGTTTTTCCGCAGGCACTGCCACGTGGTGGTGTAGAGCACGAAGGCGAAGGCCTTGAGCGTGATGGCGATGCTGACGTACAGGTGGCGGTAGGCCACGTTGTCGTAGAGGGCGCAGGCGCCCCGCTCCCCGCAGAAGGTGCTCCAGAACAGGCAGGTGGAGTCGATGCCGGCCCCGAAGATGAGGGGAGGGGGGATGAAGCCTGTGGGGGGGGGAGGAACAGTTGGGGTCCAGCTCCGAGGGCGGTTGGCCGCCCAGGTGGACGGGGTTGCGGGTGGCTGTGCCGCTGCACGGACCCTGCTGGGAGACGAATGCCCGAGTCCCAGTCCCACCCTCTACCTGCCGCGGCGGCCACCTGGGCAAGACGCTCAAGCCCCTCGGCACCTTAGTTTCCTCCACAGCAGCCCCGGGACCCAGCGCCGGGCCTGTGCCGGCTGCCGGGACAGGGACGAGGTGGGTGCGTGGGAGGCACCTGGAATGCTTCCCGGAGCACGGCAAGCTGAGCGTGAGACAGAGGACCGCGGTTAATTGCCCTTATTGGCAACTGACCACCCAGAAAGGAAGAGGGGTCTCCCTGAAGGGAGAGGTGGGGTGGCTCACGGGGGACACCGTGCTCCCTGGGGCTCCCAGGGCTGCGTGCGCCTTCCAGGGAGAGGGCCCGGAGCAGGGAGCAGCCGCTGAGCTGAGTCCATGGCGGCTGTGGTCTGTGTGCGCACGTCGTGCGAGGAGTCTACGTGGGCGGAGCTCGGGAGAAAAGCCCAGCACGCGTGCTGACAACTCTTCGTCTGCAGGGTTTTAGCCGAGGACGGACGGGTTCCCTGGTGAGCTGGGCACGTGTGAGCCCCTCACAGCAGGGCACGCCAGGCAGCCCAGTGAGACCGAGTCTGTGCTGAGGGGGTGCCGCGGCTGGCTCTGTGGGGCGAGGCCTCCCCAGCGGCCTCGCACTGTTCTGGGGTCTCTCTTCTCTGCCTGCGGTTCTTGTGGACCCCAGCACCCAAACTCCTCTCGCTGTGTGTGGGGGGTGCAGAGGTTGCAAGTACTGGGGAGAACCAACAAGGGATTTGTGGGCGCACACCTAGAGGTGATGAAAAGCCTTAAAGCAACCTACAGCGGTCCTAACGCTGTCACCTACGTGTGCTCCGTAATGTTGTGTCCTGAAGTTGTCGCGAAGTGTGTCGTCAGTCATGCCCTGCAGTGGTTTTCCTGTTGCGTGAGAATGACGGTGCATGCTAACTAGTTGTAATTTCCATGTGTCTTTGTAGGTGTGTGGGGATCCCTGTGGGATGGCGTGGGACCCTGGCCAGCATGCCGGAGGGTGCCGGAGAGCAGGGCTGTGCTCACGCATGTGGGTGGGGTCTGGGAAGCTTTGAACGCCTGCAGTGCTCAGTAAAAGTGTTTTTGTGGGATGACTTTCGTGGAATGTTGTCATCTTTTTCATATCTGAGAAAGAGTCCCTATCCTTGCTACCAGGTGTTACAGTGTCACCTGTGGCCATCAACCCAAATCAGGGTGAGGGTGAGGAGGGGGCGTCACGACTCACATCTACGTTGTCGTCTTTCCCATGATAAGAGGAAAGTAAGCATAAGTGATACGCTGTCTGGGAGGCCCAGGTGCATTCAGGGGTTGCTGAGCTGGTCCTAACTGGCTATCGTGACTCCTGGCACATGTCTGTGTCCAAGACATAGAAGTCAGTCAGAGAACCAGGTGTCATTGAACTAGGTGTCACTCACGGGTCCTGGGCGGAGCAGGAATGAATGGTCATCGATGGGCGATGGTTTGCCGTAGGCAGCGGAGGGACGGGAAGGGGGCCTAGACCAGGTGTGCGCCACGTCCCCGGGTCTGAGGTGAGGCAAGGGTCTGAGGGTGGAAGAGTTTCTTCTTCCACGTAGCAATGACTGGAGTGGGAATTCATCTCGTGTCATCATGAAGATAACTACGTGGGATTTCATGACCTCAGTACTCAGAGAGAAGAACTGACACCATTTTTGTGTGCAGTTTCCTAACAGTCTCCCCCACGGGTGGGGCAGTCACGTGCCTGCGGAGCCCACTGCACAGCTCTTCCCCCCACATGTCCACATGCCCTTCTGGCCGGAATCGTCAAGGGCAGCGGAAAAGCAGCGGGGGTTCTGGACTGGAGTGGGTGGAATGGATTCCTTGGTGTTTGACATCCAGATTATGGGTATTATTTAGGGGTCCTTGTGTGCACACTGTGATACACATGTCCCCAGTGCCTGCGGTCCGTCCTGTGCAGGGGGACTGTTATCTGGGCTGTGCAAACACGGGCCTGGGCCAGGGCCCCTTCCCCATGGACGCACCGTTGCACATGCAGTGCAGGGCATCACTGCCATACTGCGGAAAGCGGAGGCCGCCTCCCCCGAGCTTGGCCCTAACAAAGGAGGTGACGGCCCCCAGAAGAGGAGCGGGGTGACCTTCGGGGTGGTGTGGCTGGGTGGGACAGGACGGGCTCGACGGGGCCCCGTGGGTGCGGGGCCGTCATGCCGGAGTGGCCCCGGGGCGCCAGCACCATGGCCTGTTGTCCTGACATACGTATGTATGTACGTGTACGTCGGCACAGCAGTAGAGGCCCCGTCGCGCCCACCCTGTCCCGCCTCACCACGCCACCCCTGAGGTCGCCCCACTCTCCTTCCAGGGCCGTCACCCAGACTTCGTCTCCCCACAAAGACTTGCCGGCTCCAGAGCGGGGAGGGCCTACTGCTGCATCCCACAACCCCACGGGGCAGTCCCCCTCGGCCGCAGGTGCAAACCCTCAGCACCCTTTCCACCCGGGCTGCCTCGGGGGGCCCGAGGGCGGTGGAGCAGGACTCGGGTTTCTGCTCTTCGACGCCGCACAGCACAAAGACCAACTCCAACAACCACACGGCACCGCTGACCCGCACTCACCTGGTCCTTTGCATCCACCGGATCACTGAGGCCACACACACACACACACACACGATGCTTACCTAACAAACGGAGGAGCAGAAACAGCACTCCCAGGGCGTAGGACTTCAGCTCGGGGCTCACTGTCCTGCGGGCACACAAACAGAGCAGAACGCACAGGCTCACCGCTGCACTGCAACGCACACACCACCCAGGGCCCCTCGCTGCCCCAGGTCACCGGCTGTTCCCGCCCACTTGCCCCCCGGCCCCGAGTCTCGACAGCGGCAGGACTTGCAGTGACAACACGTGACAACACAAGTGTTTCGTCACTGCAGCTCCTCAGGCCATTCCGGGTGCACAACGTCTACCTGGTCCACACACTCTTCCTGGAAAGACACCTTGTCTGGGCCAGGACAGGGCCGCATCCTACGTGACCACGTCCCACCCCCTGGGGAAACCGTGAGGGAAGGCCACCCCCCCCCCGACGCTGCACACACAGGCCCGCACCATGGACCCCTCTGCCGTGCTCAGGCCACTCGGCCATGTCGGCAGCCCCACACAACGAGGCTCCCCGGCAACAGGACCCGCCCACACCCACTCCCAGTTCCTCATGCTGCACAGGCGCCTGCACACGGCCCCGGGTCCTCACTAAATGGACCCCCATCTCCCTGGCTTGCCTCACCCACCACAGGCCCCTAGAACCATCTCCCCACGTGCTCCCAAAACCGATCCTCAGACCGAGCTGCGCAGACACGGGGGTCGGGGCCTGTTACTCCAAGTTCCAGGCAAGGCCGGGACCGAGCCGGACCCCACAACCCACTCGATGAGCGACCCTGCAAACACTGGGCAGCCCCCCCCCCCGGACCCCCCATCGCCCCACCCGTCCACAGGGAACCACCACCACTGAAGCCATCAATGCAGAGCCGACGAGAGCCTGGCACTGACACCCAAGAGGCTCCGGGCGCCCCTGCCCGGGAAGCTCGCAGAGCTCTAGCTGGCGTGCGGGCTCCCACCTGGGGCGGCAGCGGGCCCCCTGCTGGAGGACGGGGCCACAAGCAGCCACCGCAACCCCACACCGGAGAGCTGACACATGTTGCCCACACAGGCGTGACACACCGTCACCCTCCAGACACAACTCAGAAGTTCACTCCCGAAACACTCGGCACGTCCCGAAGACGTCTCATCTCCGTGCGCAGTGGTAGCAGCTCGCGTGCAGTGGCGGTGACTACCATCTGACTCCACTCCCACTCGGGTGGCTCTGCTACGACGCTGAACATGATAATAAAAACCCGGCTGCACTGAGTTTTCCTCGCAGAGACGCATTTCCGAAGCTCAGTGGCAAAAGGCAGGTCACTGCACACAAAAACCTGAATGCTTTCACGACTTCCGACTCACAACGCCGTGTGGCTCTCCGGAAAGGAACCGCAGGCGCCCCGATGCCACCAGCGCTGTGCTGACTCACCAGTCCTGCCGCGGCCCCGCAGACACTGCACGTGAGCCACTACAACACACTGTTCACATCCCGTCGGGGTGCAGAGAGGGGCACTCTGCCACGCACCCCGGCCGCTTCTGCGGCCCCACAGGGCTTCACTAACGACCTTCTAGGTAGCACTCAGTGCCTCCTGGAAACCCCTTCCCCGCCAGGAACTGCCAACCAGCACCGGGAACCCTGCGCGCGCCAGCAGCCGGTGACGCCCCCACGCCCCCCAGCCCTGACCTCCGAGCACTTCGTCCCCCTGCAGCTCTGGCCCCTGGGGCTGAGTCGGTTTGCTCCAGCCACTGCACCCCACGGAGGGTCTGTGTGTGTCCAGCGAAAATGCTGGCTCAGAGGGATGCTGGGGGCGGGGCACCTGCTTCTAGGCTCCTCACACCAGATGCCTCCGCACAGGTGCCAGTGACTCCGACCAGGACTCGCTAACTCACACCTGGGGCGCCCTGCCTGGCTCCAGCACAGGTCCCGAGAGACAGGGAGCCACCGAATGAGGGGCGTCTCCCTCCGACGTCTGCCTGCCTCCGCGAGCCAGTCTGGGCAGGGCCCGCGCCACGGGCAGGACCACCGACCTCACCCCCAGACCCAGATTCCTGGGTCTCACTCCTGAGAAGCACGTGCCCACTGAGGGGCCACATGGGGGCTGGCCATGGGGACGTGGCTACTCCAACACCACCTCCACCTTCACTCAACTCCGACCGCGCCTCTGCAGAAATCAACACGGGCCCCCGGTTCCTCCAGATCACCTGCAGATTCCACCCCCTGGAGGACACGAACGTGGACTGTTCTCCCTTGGGCGAGCTTTCCATTCATGGGCCGAGGCCCCTCTCCAGTGCACGGACTCCTGTCGGCCCAGGGACGCTGGCGCCAAACCCTCGAGCGGCACCTCAGGTTCTGACCACCAGGACTGCGGCCCACGCCCGTGGGGGCTGGGCAGGAGGGACCGAGGGACCGAGAGGCCGGGCCCGGGCCCCTGGGCACCTTCCCCGCTTACCTGATGAGGATGATGACCGAGGGCGTCTGCGCCATCGCCCCGATCATGCTGCAGACACACATCACGCACAGGAAGATGAGGAAGGCCTCTTGGCACCCGGGGCTGGGGCACTTTCCGGAAACCACGGTGGCATTCTCGGGCGGGCCGGCGCTGAGGCACGCACAGCCGGTGTGATTCTGAAAGGCAGCAGCCAGCCCTGTCACTGGGGGCAACTCCACCGCCTGAACCCCAACCCACCGGTCAGCAGGCGCTCTCACGGCCCGATCACACATTCCGGCGCATCCCATGCATTAGGCCTGAATGACCCAGTGACCTTTAAACAGGCTGCAAGCCCATGCAAACACACGCCTGTTTCTGGGGAGGACAGCTCATCTCCCCACCTCCTCTGTATTTCGTGTCCCTGCTCAGGAGCCCCTCCGTGAGCGGCTCGGTAGACATATCTGTCCCTGCCCCCCCCCCGGCATGCACACACACAGCTACAGAGGAAACTGCGCTTCCACAATATGATAAAACATTGCCAAATTAACATCGCAATTACTTGCCAATTTGTCCTCTCTTGCATGCAGTTATAATTACACTGAAGTGTATTAAAAGAAGTAAATCAGGTAACCTGCGCGTTGCTGCTGGTCTGGTGCCCAGTGTGGCACCATGGAGCACACGGCGTGCTCGGGGAGGGGAGAGGTGGCTGCCATCCTGAGGCTCGGAGTGGGGGCTAACGGGAACCTCCGTGAGAGGCAGACAGCCCAGAGGGCTCAGAGACGCCAGGGAGCTCCGAGCGGATGCCGCGGAGCAGGTGGCAAAGCCACTGCATTCCACGGGGCCTTCCCGAGACTCTCGCCCGCCGCCCCGTTCCCAGGCCTGGTCCTCCTCGCTCACGCTCCGGGAACCTCTGGCGGCAAAGGCAGGAGCAGGCGCTGAGAAGGGCAGAGCTGGCGAGCGCCAGGCCAGTTCAGGTTCAGTGACAACCGTGCAGGGGCCTTAATGACCGCAAGATGAACACAATCATCACTGATTCACTGCTCCTCCCTCCAGGGCTGCCGCTTTCAGAGCACCCTCGGGAGGGGATCCTCCGGAGGGCCACCCCACTCTGAAGTCCCGCTCCCCTCTTTTCTTCCCCCACAGAATGCACAGATGGGCTTTCCCTACCCCACAAAGCTACGTGGGATGCTGGCCGAGATATCCAAAACCCCGCATGCGCCCCCCACCCCAACAGGGCCGCCTGTTACATGACTGTGCCCTGCACGGGGGCCCCACTCAGGGGCCGGGGTGCGGGGATGCTGCACGGGCTGCCCAGCGCAGACGCCCTTGTGCCCCTCACAGCACCCAGGGGTGGTTAGGGTTGTCCCCTGAAAGGCGCGGGCCCTGCCCCTGCGAGGCCCTGGCCGCCCTGCTAGATGTGAGATGCTGCATGTCCTGGTGACCAGTCAGAAAGGGCACCGGGCTCCAGGCTACTTTATAAGCACCCCCGGCCTGGAAAGCGGCTGGCCTCCCGCCCCCCCGTTCCACGGGGGTGTCTCCCCACCAGGCCATTGCCCGGCCGGAGCCGTCGCACTGCCTCCAGAACAGCTGCACACCCTGCTGGCGCCACGCGCAGGGTGGCAGGCCCGGGATTCCTGGAAGTGAGTGTGCCCCGGACAGCATGCCGATACTCAGGGGACCACTGTGCGCAGAGAGAGAGAGACAGGCCTCACGGGCGCGGGAACCCGGGCGACCTCCAGGACGACGCGAGGCTGGCTCGTGAGACCTGGAAGGACTCATCCGACAGGCAGGCGGACCGGCCCGGGGATCAGAGTGACGCGAGGGCACCGTGAGGCGCGGCACTGCAGCAGCCGAGGCCCTGCGGCCCGCTCCTCACACACCGTCACGGCAGGGACTCCAGGACGCCACCACCACCACCAGCAACCGCCTCCACGCACAACAGGCACCAGTGAGGCCGGATGGGCTAAAACCCAGCAGGAGTCCACCTACCGGGCAGAGCGCTGCGTCGAAACGTGGGTGAATGGGCGGAGAGGTGGTACACAGGACAGTTTCCACACCCTCCCTGTGGTACTTTCTGATTTTTAGCCACATAACTGGAACATGTCTTACAGAACCAAGAAGTCTAGAACTTCGCAGAATAAACCAATGCGGGAGGAACCGCACAGCCACTGAACGCCGTCAGCATCCCGCGTGTCCCAGCCGTCCGTCTGCACTGAGAAACGCCCCCGCCCCCACACGCCACGCCGAGCCGGCACCGTGACCGTGAGGCCGGAGACCACAGACCCACAGACACGGAACCACGGCTCCCTGGAGTCTGGGGTTCCCTTCCACTGCCGGGGAAAGGCACGAGCGTGCTGTTCTGACAGCTCGTATACGCACAGACACTCACCAGCACTGCTCACAGACACTGGCAAACACCGTTGTTTTCCTTTGCGTCCCCCTCACATCCCGTGCTGCTGCGTCCCTTTCTGTGGATCGCACACACACACACACACTAGTTGCTGGGTCGAGAGGTTCCTTCTCCAAGGGCACAGCTGTGGTGGGGGCAGTGTTCCCTGCCCCAAGAGCCTGACGTGAAACCTGGGAGAGTGGAGCGCCGCTCCCAGCTCCCCACCGTCCGGAGTCCTGGGTTTGTTTTCCTTTCGAAAATGCACCCAGTCACCGGGGAGAGGGGACTGTCTTTGGGGAACACCAGGCGCCAGCTGGTCCTGTAGCGCAGGAAGGGCACCTGCCGGAGTGCGCAGCTCCTCGGGGGTCCTGTCTGCCTGTGCCCGGGCGTCTCCCACCCTTTGTGGGGACGCCCCAATCCCCAGGACGGCCCAGGGCCAAGGACACGGCCACAGGAGATGGGGACGCTGTCCTCGGAGCGACAACGTCTGTTCCGGGCCATTTAGGAAGTCTGTCGTGATGCAGTGAAGTTCCTCAGTGGTCCCCCTGTCACTCATCACTGCCCTTTTGTAGCTCTGCCCCTTCATCACCCGATGAGCCCGACCCAGCCTGCCGTTTCCGGGGCAGACCTTGGGGCCCCTCGTTCACCGGGAGCCCTGCCAGCGACCCACGGGCCCCAAGGCCGAGGGGCCGTGGAAAAGCCACGAGAGCATGCACACCCTCGTGCTCCCCCACGGGGTCACGGCTGAAGGACAGTGGCCGGGGAGAAAAGCTGAGAGACAAGGCCAGACCTCCGCCCACCTCTCGCCCCGCCACCTGTAAGCGGGGGGCCAGGGCACACCCTCCCGGAGCGGCGAGGACAGGGCTGTCCTCGGGGAGTGCAAGGCCCCCTCCTGCCTCAGCCACTCCAGGCGGAAGTGGTGGGTGGGCAGAGCAGGGGAGGGGGACGGTGTGACCACCAGGCCTCGAGGCTCCCCCTCCAGCTGTCTCCTGACCCCAGACCAAATCCTTGCCCCTACCGCGAGGTCCAAGCCTCCCCACCAAGCAAACACCCAGCCCACCCTGCCATCAGTCGTCCTCCAGAAAACATGCCCACAGGCCCCCCTTCCGGCCCCGCCCCACCCCAGCAGGCCTGAGGCAGCAGGTTCCCTGCCTTCCCCGCCCTTCCTCCTCCTCCTCTTAGAAGGCAACCACCTAACCTTTCCTGTGGAATGTTTTTAAATAAAGTTTTTCCTTCTTGGAAAAAGGATGCATGTTCATTTAAGACAGTTTAGAAATATACAGAAAATTTGAAATATATATAGATTAACTTTTCAGTCCCTAGTGAGAGGTAACCTATAAACAGTTGACTATATATCCTTCTGATATTTTTCTGTGCAAAGATATGCATGTGTTTAGGTTTTTCTTTTTCTTGACTGAAAGAGATAACACCCTAGATATATAATTTTATAATGTGTTCTTTTCCACTAACACTACATTGTAGACACAGGAGCCAGGCCAGCTGCTGCTCCTGGGTGCCCCCTGCACCCAGCCCTACAAGCAGGCTTGCTCTCGCTGCACAGCACACACGAGCCCCTCCCTCCCTCCCTCGCCTCCAGTCCCAGTGCCTGCCGGGCCTGGGACACCTTACGTGCCCCGCGTGGCCACGCGCCAGGAGGGCGGGCTTGCTTTCAGGGCGGTCCTTTCTGACGAGCCATCACCAGACACAGCACAAACTTTTCAGTGTGTTCTGGCAAATGGGGCTGGACCATCCGGGAGGGTCTGCAAGCTCTAAGCCTTGGGGAGCTGTACAGGAGACAGTTGAGAGAGATGGTCCAGCCGCAAGGGGCAGCCAGCGGGGGGGTCGGCCACTGCTCAGCCCCAGCCGCCCGCCCGCGGCCCTCCAGGGGTGCGGTTGCCGTGTCAGTTACGGCTGGATGTCTACAGAGACGGCACAAAGCCAGGTCTGTGGGCGGAGCCCAGGCCCGGTTTAGTCCACGGTCAACAACCAGCCAGCAGGGGCTGCTCCTGTGACCCAGGCCGACGGCGCCTCCGATCTCCAGCTCGGCGCCCCCTGTGGGCGGCACGAGAAGGGGGGGCAGAGGAAAGGACACCAAAGGGTGAGAGCTCAGGGTCTGCTCAGACGCTGACCTCTGTCTGCAGGGGTACAGTATGGAGGCCTCGTCCCCTTCCTCAGAGCAGTAGTTTGCCCTGGGGGTCACCGTCCCCCCACACTGCTGAAATATCCGGAGACACGCGGGAGGGTGTCTGGGGAGTACATGGGTACACGGCACGGCCAGAGGGAAGCGGGGAAGCTCGCCCCCAACAGCCACGCCCCGAGGCTAGGTCAGCAGCGGGAGGCAGCCGGGGCCTGGCCCTGCTCTCCCTCGGTAAGACTCCCGAACTCGCCTGCCAGGCTCGGGGGGAGGGTTTCAGGGTGATCGTTGGGCCACAGAATGCTGTGGACCAGAGACTCCCTCGGCCTCAGGGCACCAGCCTATACTTAATGTAATTCTTAAAACGGGATAATAACCAACACCGATTCACAACACAACTTTCTGAATATTAATGACATTGTTGTCGTGAAAAAAATAGCTTGTAGTTTTATTTTCACCACTCTCCAGATTCCATCCCTTTTTAAAAATTTCATTTCCAGTCACATAAAGCAACTGCTTTATCATCTAAAGTAAAATATACGTTCCTCCCTCCTCCCCAGGGTGATTTATTTTCTTTCCAGACAAATGTTAATAACTGGCCAGAAATCTAAATGTTAACAGCGAGGAAAAAAATAAATCTCTGGAAATGAAAATAAATGATCAACGCTTTCCGTCTCAGAACAGTCGCTCCCCCGCAGACACACAGGACGAGGCGCACAGTGGGACCAGTGGTCCCCGTCCGGGTCCCCGAGAGCAGCCGCCCGCCTGCGCACTCCTGGACACCGGGAGCACGGCCAGGGGCCAGGCCTCGCTCCGGAAAGCCCCGGTCCGAGCGGTGACAAGAGCTCTCGGCAGACCGCCCGTGAAATACCCCGGACGGACGGTCTGAGACCGCAGGGACAGGGCCTCGGAGGCACACAAGGGGAGGGCTGGTTTCCCGGGGCGGGGGGGGGGGCATTGGAGCAGGGTGTGGGCGGGTGGGCAGGAGTCGTCCAGACAGAGGGAGGGTATGCGAACACGCGTGTTGTGTGGGAGAAGCTGCACGCCGCCCCAGAGGCGGCAGGGCTGGAGAGAATACCTGCTGACACGTAACCAAACCTGGTTCAGTGCCCACATCCACCTTCTAGCTGGGCGACAGACTAGCATTAGGAAGAGTCACCTGTACAACAACAGAAGTCATCCCGGCCGCAGCGCAGGAGACAGACCACAGAGGGGCCACCCTGAGCTGCAGACACCAGTGCGGCAACGACGACCCTGGTCCAAGCGAGAGATGACCACGGCCTGGAGCAGGACAGTGCTGGTGCGGATGCAGGAGGAGGGCAGGTGCAAGACACACCTGGCACGCAAGGTCAGCCAGAGTTGGTCACCAGTCACTTGGCATCAGGCTGTCATTGCAGAGCACATGCAAAGCTGCAGGCTGACAGTCAGCTGTATATTTCAAGCCCCCAAAAAAAAACGAACCAAAAAAGAAAGCATAGTGGGAGTATAAAAAGGGTGGGGGGCATCTTGGTGAGAAGAAAACAAGGGAACTGAGCGGGAAAGAGGCTGAATTAATGTCAGACAGTCCCAGGTTTGGAAGAGGTCTTCCCTGATAAATGGTTCCCTAGCCTTTCCTGACATCCTTCTGTGGACAGGGAGCTGACTACCTACGGAGTCATCCCATTCCGCTGACACCCGTTGTGAGCACCATGAATCACAGTCTGTTTCTCTGGTACACATACAGCTTCCTTTCACTTTCCACTGCCACCTGCTCGATGATGCTGTTTGGAAACCTGTCTGGTTCAGCAAGGAGGGCCCAGCGGTCGTCCCGCCTACTGATGGGAAGCCCTTCACTGGGGCCGGGCAGAGGCTGACAGAAGTCACAGTGCAGGGACACAAAGCAGGCAACACGTGCGGTTGCCCACGCCTGCCCTCGCCCTCGGGCATAAGCTCCTCCGGCTGCCAAGGTCCCCAGCCCGCCCCGTGCCATGAGAACATCACTGTACCGTGCTGTTGCAGCCCGCAAAGCAGGCGGACAGGTAGGTGACGCCATCCGCCCCGCACACGGGAGTGAAGGAATCCGTCTGGCATTCACAGTTTTTATTGCAGGGTGAGTAGGGGTCCAGGGCCGAGCCAAGCGCGGAGCTGGAGAAGAAGAAACACGGGACCTGTTAGAGGAAGGCCCACTTCTGACAGGAACCTCACCCCCACCCCCCATCTCTCTCTGCCCTCGGCTGCGATGAGTGTGATGAGTGACCTGGCGCTGCTTTCCTTTCCCTCCTCCGGGCTTCACCCCCTCGTCCCAGACCCACTCACTCCCGGGAGCTCTGCGGGTTGCTCCCAGCACCGAGGAGCCAGGCTGGCTCCTGGGAGGAGAGGCAGCCTCTCGTTATCATTTGCACTAATGCGCCCCAGGGGCCTGGAACACCCAGGGGCTCTGCTCAGGGCCACCTCCTCCACGAAGCCCCTCCTGATCACTGCAGCCCCCGCCACCTCCTCCAGAAGCCCCTCCTGATCACTGCAGCCCCCGCCGGCTAACCACGCCTCCCTGCACAGCTGAGCACACACTTCTCCCCTCTCCGGGCGGTTCCTCGTCTGCTTTACTCCTCCCCAGCCTCGTGATGCTTAACAACCTGCCATGACAACACCATTTCAGTAACGACGGTCTGTCTGATCGATTCCACTTCCTGCGGAAAACAACACTAACGTATTTTAAATGTGCTTTTACTAAAGGCACAGTTAGCTAAAGCGGCAGACAGCAAAGAGGAAGAGGGAGGAGGAGTTTCTGGCGCTGTGAGAGACGGTGTCTCCTCTTCAGCCCGCCCCCGGGGCTGCGAGCACTTCCCGATGAGGACGGTGACAGTGACACCTGACAGTGCGTGTGTCCGACACCGCCCCAGTGCCGTGCGTGTCGTCCCCGTCCCTCTCAGTGTGACCCTGTGGGGAGCCCAGGGAAAGGAGTGCGTGCACCGGGACGAGTCACCCGCCCCAATGCACACAACTCAAGTGGCAGAGCAGGGGCTGGACCCCATGGACTGTGGCAGCGGGCAGAGCGGCTGCAGCCCCTGAGCTTTCTTCTTCTTCTTCTTCTTCTTCTTCTTCTTCTGCACTGAAGACTAACTTCCCTGCAGTAGGGCCCATGCTCTGAACCGCCGTGCGTGCACGGCCTGAGCGCTGGCGGAGTGCAGGCTGGCAGGGTTTGTCTCCAAACACCGCCATCAATGCCTGCACAACCCAGAGGGCACCCTGTTTGAGAGGGAGGGGCTGTGTGGGGGTGCGGGCCACAAGAGGCCGTGGTGGGGTGAAGGGGTCAGGGGGTGCACAGTGCCTTGTGCACGTGTGTGTATGAGCCCTGCACGGCTACAGAGAGCTACCCTGCCTGTGTTCTCCCGCTTCTGCTTGCCCTTGAGGGGTGGCAGGTAAGCCCAGCTGTACTGTATCCTCTGGCCCCACTGCAGGTGTAGGCCTGGCGGCCTGCCTGGAGGAGGAGACCAGTGTGGACAGGAGCTGGTACCCCTAGAATGGGAACTGGTACTCACCAGTTCCAACTGGGGCTACAGTTTGTAATTACTATGTGAGTGTCATGATAGCTTCTGACAGTCTAAGGAAATACTGAAGTCTATGCTGTCTTTCACTTGAAGCTACATTTTACAATGAAATTCATTCTTATTTTCGACCTTCACATCATTCCCACAGTCAAATGCCAGAAGCAGTACTTCCGGTCCTCTGGGGAGCGAGGGCGGACCGTCTCCCCCAGCATCCCTCTGCCACCCTGTGAGCCAGCGCTGAGGGGAGCGGTCGCCCTGTGCGTCCAGAACGGTCACACTGACTCTCTGGCTTTGGGAGTAAGAGGCAGAGGCGGCATCCACTTCCCGGCTCATGGTCACTAGGGACCACGCTGGCTGCATTAAGCCACCCTCGAGAGCCTGGCGCCCTGAGCCCCGAGCAGACGGGGCAGGAACAGGCACTGCCGGTACTCACATGTTTCCATAGGGAACAGTGACCCCGGCCACGGGGCCCGTGTCACAGCCCAGGAAGAGGAAGGAGACGTAGCAAGCTGTGGACACCAGGTTGACGAGCATGGCCATCCGGATGGCGCCCAGGGCGGACAGGCTGAGCTTCTTCACCAGGAGGCCGCCCAGGAAGATGCCCAGACAGGCACAGGGAATGGCGGTCATCCCTGCAGGAGAGCAGAGGGCGCAGCCGTGAGCAGGGGAAGCAGGGCCAGTCCACGTGGGGGCGCGTCTCCTGGCACCGCAGGGCGCGACCGCGCCAGGCCCCAGGGCCGCCGTCGGGGGCCTCATTCCCGCCCCAAAGGAGCTCACGGGTAGCCGGGCGGACCCGCACACGGGAGTCTCAGTGCCTTCTCCCACTGTGCGACGAGGGGTCCCCGCCCAGAAACACAGTGGGCGCGGGCCCGCCACAGATGAAGTCACACAGTGGGGCCCGCGCTCGCACTCCAGGGCCGTGAGTGCTGGGGGCCGTGGCGTGCTCCCCGCATGCGTCCCAGGTGTGTGGGGCCGAAACTCACCTGGGGTTTTCGCCTCCTCTCCACCTAGGCGAGGAGGGCATCGAGGAGGACGGGCCTGCAGCCTGTTTCACCAAAGGCCCCAAACGCGCAAACCCATGGAGATGGTGTTTTAAGCAGCCTCATGACCGCTCAGGAAGGGGCATCAATCAAATCAATACGTTTTTGTGGTAACTGCAATAAAATTTTTCTCTCTGATAAACAGCCGTCTGTAAAATATCGGGACTGTAAACCCACCGTTTCTGATTCTCGGAGACTAACGGGAGTTTAGGAGGGCAGAAGGGCCCTAGGCTTCCGGCCTCCTGCCTGCCTTCGCTGTGTCCACTCACGTCCACTGCTCCTCCTCTCTCCCCCCGGCATAGGCACCCAGGCTTTGCATTTCCTGATCCCTCTTCTAGAACATTTTTGCCCCACGCTTTGACTCTCCTTTCCAGAGAGGCCCTCTCTGATAGCTCCCGAGTGGCCCCTGCACCCCACCCTGGGGTCCCCGGTTGAGTATTTCCATGGCTCCCATACAATCAGAAGCTGCCATGTGTATTTTTGTTTCTTTTGTTTCTTGTTCCTTCTCTCCTACTGAGTTGCGGCTTCCCTGACGACAGGACCCCCTCCCACCTGTGCAGCGCAGCCGGGTTCCCCATGCGGGCATGGGGCGGGCCCCAGGATCACTGTGGGAGGAGGGAGGTGGGAGCCGGCAGAGCCTCCGTGCGTGAACTCGGTGGTGCACTCGCCCGTGACAGGGAGCAGGCCTGTGCTTTGCTCCGTCTCCCAGCAGAGACAGTGGGCGTGTCATCCGGCGGTGACAGGAACTATGACGACCTCCCCGCCCCCACTGCTGTGTGCAGGCCCTGCACCTTCGGGTGGTCCCCACTTCCTGAACCGACACTCGTTAACCTAACCCGGGCAGCAGATCGAGTCCTTTCACCCGCAGGAGCAAGTCATCGCCACCAGCCCCTGCGTCGTCTGTGCTGCTCGGTTCTGAACTCGGCCTCCTTTGCTGCTGACCCCTGGGTGGCCTGGGGCCCTCTGCCGACAATGTGACAATGCTCGGGCCGTGGCTTACCCTTCCCAGCGCCTCCCCTTCCCCTGAAGGCCACTGCCGGCCCCTCTTGCAGCCAGCGCCCCAGAGCCCACGCTGACTGGAGCGATGCCCGGGGCGGCACCCAGGGGCGGGGCGGCACCCAGGCTGCCTCCCCTCGCAGCGGCGGGAAGGTCCTCCCAGCCAAGTGCTCTCACAGACAGAACTCACGGGGAAAGAAACAGGCACAAAAAGTCAAGACTGTTTTTCGGACCTTCTGCCCTGAAAACCACTGATTTGTTTGTTGACAGAAAACTGAGTCGTCTCATCTTAAGCTGAAGACAGCCCCAACGTCCACGCAACTGTGCCCTGCAGTCGACACGTCAGGAGCCGCGCAGAGCACCCAGGAGGCGAGAGAGGAATTCTCCGGCGGTGGGAGGCGGAGCCCGAGCAAGGCCGGTTCTAATGAGGGAGTTGTAGCTTAATTACAAGTTTACCCTGTCTCTGTCAGGTAGGTATTACAGGACTGGCTGTGTGTTGCTAATCACTCTTAGAAGAAACACTTCTGAAGCAGTGCATGGCGAAGAGCTATCAGTGGAAAGAAAAACAGTAAGACTTGTGCTTCCCAAGAGGTTCCCAGGGAGACGTGCTAGGACCTGGCCATGTCGCTGTGGACGGACTTCCGTCTTTTCTGTCCCACGAAGTGCCAGAGCCGAGGGCAGGAGCCGGTGAGGTTTCCACTCCTACACGCCCGCCTCCAGCTCGGGTCAGCCCACAGCACACCCCCCCGCAGCCCCCACGGGGCTCCCACGGGTGCTTCCCCCAGGCCGCCCGTCATTCCGGCCTCTATCCCGCCGAGTACTCTCCCAGTTTCTACCTGAAGTTTGTGCCCTTTTACGTCTGACCTTCCCACTCTGTCCCATTCCACCACACTGAGGCAGTGCATCCAAGTCCTTGCTTTCTCGCGCCGTGTGACAGTCTGCCGTGTGAGCATACTGTTCACGCGGTCTACGGCTGACAGGCGCGATCTGGGTTGACTCCAGTTCGGGGCTGTCACGCAGGAAGCTGCTCCGAAGGCCGCTGCACACGCGCCTGCCAGTGAGCGGCCCAGAGGCGGGGCGGCTGGGTCGGGGCACACGCGCGTATGCTCGGTGCGAACGGGCAGCACCGCCGATTCCTCCAGACTGCTCGCGCCGTTTCGCACGCCCACCAGCGTGCAGCAGCAGCGTTCCAGCAGCCCCACCTGCCCCCAACGCTCACTGACGTCAGCCTGGTGGATGTGCGTCGGCACCTCACTGGGGTTCCAGCGTGCGCTGTGCTGGCTGACGGCTCAGGGCTGCTCAGCACCTCCGCATCCCTTGGCTGGCTGTGAAGGTAGCAGGTAGCAGTGAAGGGGAAGCTCAGAGAACACTGCCTCGCCCCTTCCTCCTCCCTCCCAGCAGCCACCTGACTCCCACTTAGAGAAGAGAACTCCACGGCCGGCTGCACCAGGCAGGGGCCGGCGGTCACCCTCACGTCTCTGCCTCTCTGTGTTTGCAGAGCAGATGAGCTCCTTGCTCGGGGCTGTCCACCGCATCCCCCTGTCCTGCAGCTCTCCTCCTGCTGGCCCTCGTCCCCTCTGCTCTGTTCAGAGACCTGCTCCAGCAAGTCCTTCCCGTCAGAGCAGCGGCTGCTTCCTTGCAGCGCCGGCACCGCCACTCCTCTCGCTCGGCTCCCAGCCCTGACCCCCACCTCGGGCTGCGCTGACAGTGTCCCACGGTCACTGTCTGCACCCCCCCCCCCCCACCGGCGGGCTGCTCTCCATGCTGCGGCTCGGGGCCCCTGCTACCGCTTCCAGGACACAGCCCTGGCGCAGGCTGGCGACGCCCCGGTTGTTACAGCTGACAGGACAGGCGAGCCCTCACCCTGCTTGAGCGCTCACACTGCTGACTGCTTCCTTCCTTGGAGCACCTCTCTTCCTCGGCTCACGGGGCCCGGGGGTCTCTTTGGGTGGCTGCTCAGGCCTCTCCACAGCTTTGTGGTGGTGCTTCCACCTCCTCTTCAGATTCTCACCTTCTCCCTAAGTCGTTCTGCCCCCAGTCCTCTCGGCCATCCACACGCGATGGCACGGGACCCACACGACTGGCCCCGGGCTCGCTGAGCTCCCGCCCAGGCCTGGACCGTCACGCAGACAGCGACCCAGGCGTCCGCACGGGGCGCCTGCATGCCGGCGCTCTCCTCTTCCCCACAGACCGGACTCCTCCCCGGGTTCCCACGTCTCCAGCCAGGGATCCGGGGGTCCCTCCTCACTCCTCCCTCCCTGTCACGAGCTGAGGCCGCTTTGCACACGCAGATAACTAACGCGGCTGCTCACGAGGGAGAACTGGCTTTCTTCAGCCTGCCAGCTCCAAACAGTTGGGGGCAGACGCCCGTGGTCCGCTGTGCAGCGGGCGGGAAGTCCATGCTTCAGCTTGAGGACAACGGCTGTCACGAGCCATTGACGACCCGGCCAGGGGCCCGCGGACGGAAAGGGAGTGGACGGCCTCCATGTTCTGCATTTGCTGACAGTGGGTTTCACGCGGCCAGGAATATTCCAGTGTCTTCATGTGCCTACCCCAAGCCTGCTAACCCTCCGAGATCCATCTTGATTTCCCTTTTCCTTTGCCGGTATCATTCCCCAAAGTCTGCTGTTCACACCAATCTATCGCCTTCCTGGCCTGTCCCAATGCTTCCTGTGCACATTTTTATTTTAGTTCTTTATTATCACGCACTTTCAGTAATTGCCTCAGGTGGGCTAACCTTACCTGGAGAATGCACTTTGAAATTCTGCTGCTTCAGAAGCAGCCTCAGCACCTTCGGGCCAGACTTGTCCCACGCACGGCAGCCCCCCTGCACCCGCCCCCCAGGGGTGCTGCGGCCCAGACTCACCGAGCAGCTGGTTGGCAGAAGAGGTGGTGAGGTTGAACTGCTGCTCCAGGTACTTCCCCAAGAAGGCAGCGAAGCCAGCCACCACGGCGATCTCCATGCAGGCGGCCAGGATGATGCAGGTGAACACCGGGTTGGAGAGCAGGTGCTTGGTGACCTTGGGGATGACTGAAGGGAGAGAGGCGGGGGCCAAGGTCACACATACTGCACTGCCAGGCCTTCTGTCCCTGGGTCCCTTCTTGCTTCAGGGTTGCCTGCCTCAGTCAACAGCCCAGGAGTCACCCCGTCCCTCAGGCCAAAACCTATCACCTTCGAGTCCGCTGTAACTGTGAAAACTCTGGCTTCCGAACAGATGCTGATGTTTTGCCAGTGAAACTGACAACTACTGAAACAGGAGAGGCTGTAACATGCGTTTTGTTATTGTTCACTGGAATCGCTAAAATATTTTATAAGGAGTCACAAGTGATTTTCATTCCCATCCCACACAAGAACTTTAGGGTTTGTTTCTCAAAAAGGAAAAGAATAACTTCATTTTGTGTTATTAAGTATGAAAGTATAACTCTGTCCTATCCACGTATCTAAGTACATATGACTAATTTATAACTGCATACGTGCGTTAAGAAAATGTATTTAATCTTAGCAGTTTCAAGACAGAAGCGACACTCCGGTGCTCTCCCATGAATGTTCAGAGACCCGTGAGGCCCGCTCCCCTTCCCCGCTGCCCCCACCATCACGGGGCCGCCCTGCACAAAGCCGCCACAAGCTCTCTGTCGGGGTTACCTGAGCAGCCCACCTAGGGTCTCGGTCTTCATCCCTGACCCGGTGTCGCCATTCCCTCCATGGCAGCGGCGGGGTTCAGCTCAGATCACAGTCCTCCCCCCTGAGATCCGCCCGGGACCACCCCCAGACCCGGGGCCTGGGCCCTCAGCCCTGTGATTGCACTTCCTGTCACACCCTGTGCTCCCTCCGGCCTGCCCCCTGCCTGGTGTGGTTCCCCCCACCCCCCGCCAGACCTCTGCCCCGGGCTGCTCCCTCCAAGGGAACACTTCGCCCCCAGCTCTGCGCTCCCCTATGTCCCCTTCCTCCCCCCACCCCGACAGAGGAAGAGCTGGCCACCGATGGCAATGGACACAAAAGTCTGTTGTGGCCTGCGCGCTGCTGAGGACCACCAGGGCCAGACAGCACGGCTGGCTGAGGTGATGCGTTCCAATCTCATTTTACTGCACTCTGTTCTTCTCAGACTGTGTCGTTTTCCAAACCACCAGCACTTCCTTGTATATCAGTGCTTTTCAAAGTGGGGTATTTGGTTCCTCATTAATCCCTTAAAAACAATCCCATTACGTGGGTATTTCCAGCGATCAGCGTCCTCGGCACCTGGTCTCTGACCAGATCTCCTTCACGGCGGGCTGACGGCGGTCCTGCCAGGACACGGGCGTGCTGCTGACACCAGGCCGACCAGACGGCTCCCACGGCTGCCCCGTCATTTTAACGTGGGCTTACAGCACGTTACCCGAAATGTCACTGACGTATCACGTGGCTCGTCACAGCCATCACAGTTTAAGATGATGCTAGGTTAGAACCGCCAGGTTTACTAAAGTTGCCTACGGAGACGTCTCAGGTAAACAGTGGAACCGGCGGCAAGCAGCGGAGAGAGTGTTTGTGGAAGCGGTGGGGGAGTGACTGCGGCCGGGGCACCCTGCTCTGCGGGGACCGCTGGGCACGTGCCTACCCGTCTCCCCCTGCAGCACCAGAGAAGGCAACGCTCCGTCCCAGGTCTAGGCAAACCTGGTCCGTGCCAGGTCCAGACAAGCAGAGGTGAGCGGGGAGTCTGACACCATTCCTAGGTGATGAATTTGCCAGCCGTCCTAAAGAACAGACCTAATTACACAGGTTCAATCTCATCTCCTAGGAGACGGAACCTCTAAATGGCCCAACTAATTGGAATAAAATAAGAATGGAGGACACATAAGTTTTAAGTAATGTTAACCGACAAGCTCAATAAATCAGAATGACAGAACAATGGGTCAGGGACGGGCACATACTCAGAACTGAGGATTTATCGTTTTTGGGAAAGACGCCAGGTTTCAGAAAGACAGGGACGTCTGGGTCCTTCGACACAAGGGAAGACACTCGCCGATGAGGACGGACCGAGCGGGTCACTGGAGGCCCCGGGCCGCTGAGGGCTGGGCAGCCCGACCTGCGCCCCAGATGCGGAGGCCCCGGCAACAGGCAGGGCGTGGCCGCGGTGGTCCTGCGGCGGTTCCTCGTTAAATTCCTAAGTCCCGAGGGAGGCAGCTCTTGGACTAAATAAACACATGCCACGCACACAGGGAAAAAACCTTAGAAAAGGTGCGAGCCAGCATAAAGACGCCGAGGGAGCAACTTCCAGCCCACGCCCTCCGGCCGCGAACATACGCCGCTTCCCTGCGAGCGATGGCCTTCGGGTGCGTGTGTGTGTGCTGCTGCTGCAGGGCTTCGGACCTGCAGGGTGGCCTGGCTCTCTCAGATACGCCATGCCAAACAAGTGCCTGCAGGTGCTTCCACTTCAAATCTACGTACTTCCAGCGCTGGGACGCTTTCCTTGGTTAGGGTCACATGCTTCCAGGATTGCACAAACACTTCTGGGAATACTGGTCCTGCACGTTTAAATCCGCGGACTGTTCGAAAACACAGATGGATACACCGGGCCCCAGCAGAGGGCAGCGGGGGAGTGTGTGTCTCCGCGTACAGAGCCCCCGGGGTGGGGCGGCGGCCCCCTCGTCACAACTCGCTGCTGACTTGCTCGAGCGCGTGGCACGCCGGGATGGTGCAATGCACCCGCGACGAGGGACTGGTCGGCTGTGACAGCGCAGCCAGCTGCACTTGCCGCAGGGAGCAAGGCGTAAGGACCGTCACCGGGCGGCAGGAGCTCCTCCTTGGCAGGAACAAGTTCGGAAGCTGGGGCTGCTTGCGTCTTGACAGATAACGACGCAGGTGCTCGGTCGTGGGGCTCTTTCGGAACAAAGTGCACGGACCCCGAAACACAGCCGAGGGTCGACAGCAGGCTGAGGACAGTCCGGGGAACAGCCTCGCCACCCTCCCGAGTCAGCTCCTCCTCCGCCGTGCGAGTGCAGGCGCAGCGTGGCGCTCTTCGGAGGGAGGGCGGGCGACCGCGGCCGCACCAGCCGAGAGAGAAACTGCTGCGATGGCAGTCTGTCGGCCTCGGAGCCACCTCTGCCCGGACCCGGGCCGTCGTGACGGTGGGCAGGTGGCGAGGGCACTCCCAAACCAAGGCAGCTCCAGGCGGTGGGTCGTTGTCGCACCTCAGCAAGCATTTTCATTATTCCAGAAGTCACTCCACTTCGGGGCGAAGGACTCCTTGTCCATCCAGGCAGGAGCGGCCTGTTTTTCTCTTAGTATCTAGTGACTCATCTTCCCTTGACTCAGGAGTGAAAACCACTGAGTCTGAGGGTTACTCGGCTGAAGGCCCAGTCCAGGGAGGCCTCCATGGGCCTCTCTTGCAGGAAGAACTTTCCCCCTCCCCAAGCTGACTGGCCTCCAGAAATGCGGGCTTCCGCCCAGGGTCCTCCCCTCGCCCTGACTTTCACCGAGGTAAGGAAAATGACTTGTAGCACTCTCAAAAGAAGATTTCTGTTCAACAGTTCGGCCCCACCCTCCAAAGCTCCGATTTGGAAAGGGTCATTAAATGGCTTGGTCCTAGAGCTCTCCCAGCATTTCACGCCTTTTCATTCAAATGGATTGTTAAGTCCATGAAGTTCTAAACTCCTAAGGAGGCGGCAGCTAATGAGGCGGCGCAGGCGCACAGAAACTGGCGACCCGGACAGCACAGCAGGACAGACCACCCAGCAGCCATCGTGCTGGCTGCCACGTGCCCGTGCAGTCTGTCGCCACCCCCCGCTCCCCACCCCGCACCACCTGTGTCCTGAGTCCTGTGATCTGAGAGCAGGGACGAGCGGCTGCATCCCCAGACGTGGGCGCGGAGCCAGGTGGGAGAACATGCTTCACAAATGCAAAGTGGATTAAAGAATCTGAAACAAATAAACAACTGCCAAGTCTTGAAAGGAACTGTCCCAGTCTCTTAGGACACGTGAGCTGTGAGAACAGGCCAGTTTGTGAGCACACCGTTAGCGATGGTCCGCGGGTCCATGGGCCACGATGGGGATGGGAGTGGGAGTGGGAGTGGTCAGCTGGCGTGCTCCTTCCCACCGCTGACTTCAGGGTGCCCAAACCATCATTCCCCCGAGCAGCTGTGGGGAGAGTCCAGGCAGCAGGCGAGGCCTGCGGGGACCAGACGTTTTCTGGGCCCAAAGCAGCAGGCTCGGGCCCACTCTGACCTTTTCGCTCAAGATGGACCTGGCCCTCACCGGCACCTGGCTGTGGCACCCGAAGTGCCCCCACCCCCCGCCCCCGCCGGCTCAGCTGTGCCCCCCCTTTGGCGGTGCCGCTTTCCTCTCTGGGGCAGGAAGAGGCCACCTGGCCGTCCGCGGGAGGAGCACAGAGACAAGCGTGCTCGGGTTGTGACGGCTCTGCTCCTTCAAGGATCGCTGGTGGGGCTCTGCCCTCCGATTCTGAACCTCCGCTTCGGCTGCAGGCGTCCAGCTGGAAAGCCCCTCAGAGGGTCAGGATGCGCCCACAAGGCTCGCAGGGAGTTGGTCCTCCCCTCCCGTTCAGGGTGCACCCCATCTCAAGGGCCCACTGTCTCAGGGTGCCTCTGTGCTCTTGAGCCAGCAGCCGGAGGAGTGTTCGCACACGCTGTGGAAGAGTCGTTGGAACCCGCGGATGCCACTTCTTCAACAAAGGGTCGGTTTATTGGCCGAGGACACAGCATAATGTTGCAGCTGAGAGGATGGGCACTGGGATCCCAGCCAGGAGCCACAGGCTCTGCTATCATCTCTAACTCTCAATTTCCTCATCCGTAAAAAGGTACCGATACCTTATAGGGCCGAGGAGAATTACACAGAAAAGTCCATGGAAAGCAAATGTTGGCTGCTTGTGTGTGTGTGTGACTGGGTATGCACACACACACACATATGCATGCTGCCAAGGAAGTGTTCATTCGCCCATACATTCACTCACTCCGCCAGGATCGCCTGCGTGCCAGGCACTGTGCTACGCAGTGGAAACAGAGGTAATGAGAGCTTTGTCCTTGGAGAGGCCACAGGTCTTGGGCAGATGCGGACAAGCGGAGAGGCCACCCCTCCGTGGCCTGGCAAGTGCTTTCCAGGGGCCGTGCGGCACACGGGCACGCGCACAGAGGGGCAGCAGGGTGTTCCCGGGAAAGCAGGGACTGAGTCCAGCTCAGAAGGACCGAGGGAGGGGGATGCACCAGGCAGAAACCGGGGCAAGGAGGACAGCGCCTGTGTGTTCCAGAAACCCTCCAGGACACCACGGTGAAGGTGCCCGGAGGTATGGTGCAGAAGGGGGCCCAGGCCCCACCATCGAGGCCCCTTCAGGGCAAGTGACTCAGGCGGCAACTCCAGTGACACACAAAACCGTGGACGTGAGATTTAACACACCAGCTGGTGACGACACTGTGCATTTGTCCATTACAGTCCCCTGAGCGCCTTTCTCCCTCTGGGTCTGGCCTTCCACAGGCCACTCTGCAAACTCTGAGCTTCTGGATACGGGAGGCCTCACCAGGTCCAGTCCTGCCCCCCACCCCTGGCTCACCTACGCAGCTCAGTGTAGGGAAGGGGAGGAGCAGACACAGTTTTAGGCATGAGAGCAGGGACACAAGGGGGCGAGATGGGTCCTGGAACGTGACCAGCACACGCTCTGGGGCATCTGAAGAACAAGATCAAGGGGGAGGGGCTTTGCAGCTGGGTGTAAAGGAGGAGTGGTTTGTTGGTACAGCTGAGATGCAAAAACGTGCCTTGAATTTGCAGAATTCCACCCGGAGGGGAGACTGGAACTTCACTAGTCCAAGCAGTTGTGTGCCTGCTGCCTGCTCTGCAGAAGTTCCATGACAGTCACGACAAGAGGGGGACTTCCGGGCTACGCAAGGAGTCAGCAGTAACAGCCTGCCCACACGTCCCAGAACAAGACTCGTCTTTCTCGTAAGAGCTGCAAACCCAGCCGATGACCGACTCTGCCGGGAGCAGACTCTCAGAGCCTGCTTTTGGGGCAGAGCATCCTGGAAAGGACAGCACAGGCCCCAAGTCCAAGTCCTAGTCACTCGAGCTTGGCTCCCTCGTGTCCAGGCAGGCAAGAGGAGTAATACCGACTTCAAACAGCTGCTGTAGAGAGGAGGCCAGACACCACACTCAAGCCAAAGGGAGTTAAGCAATGTGGCCAGGGCGGCGTGAATGGGAAGCGGCGGAGCTGGGCCTGAACCCCTGGTGACTTTCTTGGTCCCCGCGGGGAAGGGGACGGAGGGCCTGCTGGGGGTGCAATGCCAGTGCTTTCGGGAGACTTTGCTCCCTGCAGAGCACGGAGGGGACACAGATTAATGGTCGAAGAAGAAACCCTTTTGCGAGCTCAAGTGAATCAAAGGAGAAATTGCAACATATAGATTTTTAGAGCACCGTCAATCCCCCCGCGGTGAAAGGATGCTCGGCTCATCTGCACCCGGAACGTGCGCCTCACTGCACGGAGACCGCGGCGTTCAGGGCTGCAGGCGGATGAGGCGCCTGGGACGCCCACGGAGCAATGTGCAGGGGGGTGCTTTCAGCAGAAATGTCCATGTGTCCACGTGGCACGAACACGGCCTCCGGTGGAAGAATGAAACGTGTAAACCACCATGGACCCGCTCCACGAGCCGTGGGTGTAAAACGTACTCATTGGCATAACAGCCCGCTTCACCATACCCTGGCCCCTGGGGATTCCTCCAGAGACGCTGCCTGCCTTTCCTGCTGGGACACCCTTCGCACCCATTCAGAGACCCAGCGTCTTGGGGAATTGTCGCTCATCGTCAGAACTGAAGCCCACGTGTGTGCAGGTCACAACCTGGGGTCACCCACGGCCCGGTGAGTCTCGGACAAATCCACCCGACCGTGTGCCTGTCAGCTCAGCCACCGCACGTCCGGCGCTCACCTCGCCATGGCTTGGACTCGGGCTGCGGTGCGCCCCCTGCTCCAAGACAGGCCGCAGAATATACGCTGCCCTGGCCAATGCTACGTCCCTAATGGCCAGCAGGGTCTCAGTAACTACCGACTGAATTGAACAAACACGTTAATGACCAACTGCATCATAATGCAAGAATCCCAAAGCCATGACACCCCCTCAGGACTCGGCTGAGCTCTGTCTCTGACCCAGGAGGCAGGGTCTTCCCCCCCACTGTCCCCGTATTTCTATAACCTCCAGGCTGCCAGGCACGGCATGCTCACCACCCTGGGCTGGCCTCACTGTCTGGCCGGTCTGTCCCTGCGCTGGATGGCAAGCTCTTTGATGGTAGAACTGTATCCTTTTCACCTTTGTGAACCCGGAGATGAATGATGAGGGATGACCTGTACGGCTCTATCAGTCGACACTAGAGGCAAGCAGGACCATGGTCCTGGGATGAGGAAAAACCCAGAGAGATGGCTACCTGCCATATACCTCCCAGGGCAGGGGAGTTCCCGACAGGGCCCACTCTCACGCCAGCCCCACCCATTCCGGTGGGCCACTGTGCCACCTGGGGACAGCAGGCATCCCTCTCTGGTCACCGGAGGCCGCTGAGGTGGCCCTGTTTTCTCTGTGGCGGGCTCTCTCATTCAGCACATTCCCCTGGGCATCCTGATCACGGCACTCTCAGAGACACCAAGGGAGCAGCCTTCTCGTCTACCAGTGTCTCCTGGACTCAGGGAGATGGATTCTACGATCTTTTATGCACAATTCCAAATGGAAGGTTTGGCAGAAACCATCACGCAACATGAGGTCAGACATGACATTAGGTTATTACATTAATCTCTTTTGGGAATTAACACAAGTTCTTTCGATTCCTCGCAGCCTAACGGGTCCAATTAACAGTCCTCTGCGGGCACTGCTTTGATTCTCACGACCACAGTGTCACTTAGGGATGTGTTACATTTCACACTCGTGGAAATGGAGCAAGGAGAAGGAGCGGTCGCAGGGCTGGTCAAGAGCGGAACGGGGGTCTGGGCGCCGGGCCGCCTGCGGTCCTGGCCACGGTGCTCAGGCGTCTGCACAGATGGTGCACCCCATCATGCAGGAGCCCCATGGCCGACTTCCACTGCATTTCTCCATCGAGCATGGCAGGGCTGCACCTGCAGCTGCTGGAGGCTGCTCATCTCTAAAACCCAGCAGGCTCGCAGGGAACCCGAGTTCAGGGGTCCTGTGGATTAAGGAGAACTGCACCCACTTCACAGTGGGGGCATGTGTGTGAGATACGAAGCAGCTTTTGAGGCCCCACTGTCCTTTTCCTTGCCTTTACGAGACCAAATGTACCGAACGTGGAACCAACCGGAGGTAGGAGGAGGAGGATGGGGGGACCTCTCATTCTCGTTCTGCATCCTTGCATCTCCCAGTTTTGTCAGAAGAGTGCATTTTCCCTTTTACACGTGATTGTGAACGCGGTGCTGCACGCCACAGTGTGACTCGGCTGTTCAGATGAAGTTAATACTCCTTTCGTGGAGGGGACGGAAGGACAGCCTGGACCTGCAGGAACGCACTCTGGCTGTGGCTTCTAAAGAATGCCCGCATCGGGCAACGGGAGCCGACTCCCGAGTCCTTCAATGCTTTGACGCGCTTCTGAGCACCGTGGAGGAGTGCACGAGTGTCCCGGAAACGTCTAGCCTCCCCCCCGCCCTCTCACGCCCTCTTCCCCGGCAAACGTTTGTATTCATGACACAGCAGCTGCTACATTAGCCACGGGGTCCTCCGCTGCGGACGTCAGTCGGCTGCCCTTCTCCAACTGGTGACTACTCTACAAGTCAGGTCGCTGACTGCTCAGAAGTAAGTTATGCACAGGGCTGGAGGAGCAAGTCATGCAAAACAAATACGACTCTGCCGCAAGTCCCCAGCAGCCAGGCCTGACTGCCAGCCTGTCCCCACCACCCTTGGTCCCCAGGCACGCGGGCCGCTGCGGCCAAGGCTCCTTACCTCTCAGCTGCTGGCAGCAGGAGGCGCTGCTGTCCGGCTCCAGGGGGTGCCGCAGGACCCCGTTGCTGGGCTTGGGTCTCTCGTACTCCCTCTCGGGGAGCATGGCCTGCTCGCTCTCCAGGGCGGGGTCTGAGTGCAGGGGCAGAGACTGTGGGAACCCGAACATCAGGAGGGAAGAGAAGAAGAGTAAGGCACCGCAGAGCAGAAAGCCGCCCCACCAGGCTCCGATCCAGCGGGGGTCGTCCGGAGTGATGTCCAGGTTACCTGCAACCAGAAAGAGCGCAGTCAGCAGGAGGGGAGTGCTGGGGCCTGGGCCTGGCCCAGGTTCTGAGCCAGCTGTCCCGACGGGCCTCGAGCTCTGGGAAGGGCTGGGGGATCTAGACACCGGGCGAACAGAAGCCTGTTGCCTTACACTGGTGCTTCTGTTCCTCCCAAAGCCGAAGACCGACCGCTTTTGCTCCTCGGTTTCCTCATCCGCCCTGTGCCTGCACCACCCGAGAAGCCGGACCCCATCTAAATTTAGGCCGGAACTCACTGGCTAGGAAGAGCTGCTGAGGCGCACTAACAAAAACACGAGGAAACACATTTATTCTTCAAGGACGCAATTTTTACTAGGTACACTCAAATGCACACCCCTCCCCACAAAAAAGCAGCCAACCTGAGATCCTGTTCAATAGTCCACTCCCTGTCTTTAATGGGAGTTACGGGTCCTAAGGTGTGGCCCGGAAGTGAAAAGCCAGGATGGGGGGGGGGGGGCTGAAACCCCACCCCTTCTTGCTGTGCAGCCCCAGGCCAGTGATCCACCTCAACTCTACGCCCACTCGCCTGCACAGCAGGGGCGGTGACCACGACGGCAGCACGTCCAGTATCGGGTCTGGGGGAAGGTCGGATGCCCGGACCTAATGTGCTCCGAAGAGTGCCTGGCACCAGCCCGAACACTCGATCGATGAGAACTCAGTGTTTATGGCCGGGGTCCTGTTTCCCATCTGCTGGTGGAGAGGTTAATTCAAACCCCGAGGGCCGCTGTGGTTTGGGGCCGGTCCTCTATTGGAAAGCCTCGCAGCCACCTTGCATGCTGAAAGGCAGCATGCCTGCGGTCTGGCTGTCTCACAGTTACTGCTTTGATCTGCCAGCGGAAGTCATGAAGACATAAACTACAGCTTGCTCCTCTCGGGGGCCCCCGCCCACCCCCTCTCCACAACTGCATCCTGTGGCAGCGCTCCCAGACGAGCTGCTCCGAAACACCTCTTTGACGATACTCCCCTGTCCCCGGAGCCTGGAAGGAAATTCCTGGAGACCTGGGCCATGGCAGAGGAGCTAAGAACTAGCAGGGCTGCAGGTCTGGACCAGATGGACGGACAGACCTGGGAATAGAAATGACCACAGACGCCAGATGACCAGCATTTGTAAAAGGCTCTCTCTGAAGACCTTTTAGTGGACACCAATGAAAACGCCAGCCACCATGTGCCAAGGGCCTCCTGTGCACCAGGCCTCGGGCAGAGCACAATCTCAACTGTGCCCGCCAACCCTTCCCACAACCCTACAATCCTGTTGCCCGTTTCATGCAGCTGGAGCACACGGGGCTTAGAATGGCTGGGGACCTTGCCCAAGTTCACACAGCTGGAGGTGGGGCACAGGCATTCGGACGCTGGGGGCACCGCTCTGCTGCACCGGGGGCCCCTCCTGACGGCCTGGAGGTTGTCTGGGGCTCCCTGGAGGGCTCCAGGGGATGCTTAATTCCTGGGCTTTGTGCAGTGAGCCCAGCCCACCAGCTCTTTGGCAGATGGCAAGGTGGTCTTTGGAACATCAGTGGTCCTGGTCCCTGTCCTGGAGACCTTGACATCACCCCAGCAGCAATAACCAGGGGACTCCACGGGACCAGGTGCTTTGGTGCAGCTGCATGCTGGAGAAAGAGCAGAGAGCGTAGCTCTGGTGGGCTCAGCGCTGAATCCCAGCTCTGCCGCTCACTAGCCTGCGGCAGCAGGTTAAGCTCCTTACCCCTCCTAAGCCTCAGTCTCGTCTGGTGCAAAACAGAGCGCTTGCAGGCACGAGAGCTAATGAGCAAGAATCACCTGACACATAGTAGGCTCTTTGTATATGGTAAATCCTATTATGTTTACTTTTAGGTGCCTACTTACAGGAATGAGAACTTTAAGATACCGAGTTTTTGAAAAGCAGACAGCACGGGAAAACAAACGGCGAACCTGGAAGCACTTTACACGCAGAAGAGAGGCGGAAAGGAAGCGAGGCTGCCCGGCAGCTGAGCAGGGAGGTGTCCACCAGCCTCTGACTGTGTCTTCACCTGCGGCCGGCAATGAAGGAACACTCAGGGCTGAGAAAGGGAGCCACGGCATCCCCCGCCCCTCAGTATCCGTGGGCTCCAGGAAGGGCGAACCGGAAGCTAGAGCAGATGTGGGCAGGGGGAGAGAGAGATCCCGGCAGAGGCCCGAGGAACAAAATCAGTAGCACGGGGACAGTCATGTTTCAGCTGGGAAGGCAGTGACGCTCCGCTGTGTGCGAGAAAACACCCGGGCGGAGGGCCTGCGCTGGGGGAGGCGGAGGTTTGCGTGAGCGTGTCAGCTCGCTCCCCGCGGGCCTGTGCACGTGCGTGGAAAGGCGACACTTGCTCACGATTTGTAGCACGGGAAGAACGTGTGATCCATGTCAGAGTAAGGCATGTGTGCCAACTCAGGCAAGAAGAGGGGCCCACAGGAAGGTGTGGAGAGGGCAGGACTCTCTGGATACAGGAGAGTCACAGCGGAGTATTTCGGGAGGTGCTGACCTTCTTCCTCCACGCCAACTACCCGGAGCACTGCGGCAGGGAGAGAGAACACACGCCGAGAGGACGCCAGGCGGAGCGGCTGCCTGCCGCCTGCAGGACAGGACGCGCTCGGGGGGTGGGGCCGCGCGCTGCTCCCGGTGCTTCCCAAGGTGACACCTGGTCTGAGAAATGTCTGCTCTACTGCCCCTCCTTTCTCTCCTGTCTCCACAGCGGACGGTCTTTTCAGGAGGCATTCTGGCCGGTACGGTGAAACTCTCCCTCCACCTGCTCAGCAGGTGACTGCTCTGGCCTTCCTGATATTGAGGGAGAGTCGTCCGTGGCGGCCACCAGACGACGGGGTGGAGGACGTCTCTGAGATCTGTGTGTGCGTCCGGCTTCTCTTCTGAAAACAAGGAGGATCACACCTCCAGGGTGTGGCCGTGTGCCCTAGTTTTCCCCGGTAAAATGTGTCACGCCCCTCCTGTTACGAGGCGAGTACCTGTCAGCCGGTGTGCCACTGCCACACTCTGCCCCTCTGCCTGATCACGGGAGCCTGCGGAACCCTCCTCACTGAGGCAGTGTCCGAACGGCTAACTCAGACCAGATGTCCCTGCAGACCTGTGTTGGGTGCACTGCACGGCAAGAAATAAACCTTTCGTGTTCCGAGTCGCTGGGCTGTTGAGGGTGTTTGTTACCACAGCAGAACGTAGCCTACCCTGACTGACACAAAAGGCTTAGCCAATGAAAACCACGCTCTTTAAGAACGGTGGTCTTGGGAAGGCTTGGAAGAGGAAGAGTACTGTTTGAGGTGCAGTCTGGGGAGAGGCATGAAAACCTCCTCTCTTCCGATCTCGTTCCAGTTAGCATCTTGCCCTCAAAAAGGTGCTTTCGGACTCTTGCGACAGTCAGATGCACAGAACAAAGCTGAAAAGCACCGATCTGTCTCGTTTACTTAGAGATATCGAAGTGCCAATGGAACCATAGACACAAAAGGAGAAAGACCTCAGGAAGCGTGGGGCGGGGACGGTGCCCAGGGCACGGCACCCTCAGGGCACTGCAGGCCGACGGAAGGTGCCGGAACAGGGACCGGCGTGGGGGGAGGGCAGCCCCACGCCGCCTCACCAGGACGGAAACAACCCCGGTCACGAGGCTGGCGCGGCGTGGGGCTGCCTCTGCGTGGGCATCTGCAGGCCTAGAAGGGTTTCAGCTTCACGCCATCCGTTTTTCTAACCCTTCCATGGCCTGGACTCCGACATTCAGAGGGCCTTTGTGGTTTTGCTGGGTAAGCTGAGCAAACTTTTGGCTGTTGTGTGCTTCCTCGCTGAAGGTCAGGTAAACCTAGGGGACTGGGATTTCCTCCCGCTTCTGAACACAATTACCCTTATGTGTCTGGAGGAAAAATTGCTGCAAATAGGGTTGAATCAGCTTGAAACCAGCCAATCGACCAGCCCATGAGGATACCCGCAATTGTGAGAAGGGCAGCTCACAGCAAATGGGGACATTAGCTTCTTATTCCTGGACCATACTGATGAGTAAGCCATGCTACGGCTCTCTGGGTACTTCCTAGATTTTTTTTCAGTCCATTTACCTATTTGTCTAACCTAGTTTGTGGAACTTCTGCTGACCCAAGAATTCCAAGAGTATCATTAAGTTACAGACCTAATTAGGCAGTGGGGGCAGGCAGGGGCTGAGGGTGGAGGGCAGCGTGGAACACTCAGATCCCAGCCGTCGGGCTCATCAGCCTGACAGGGAGGGAGCTGGGGACAGCGGCCAGCCCCGGGGTGGCCGCGCAGGGGCTCTCCACGTGTCGGCCTTTTCTATGAAGCAGACGACCGCACACGCTCCATGGCTGTTGCGGGTCTGGCTGGCACACGCCTTAGGACAAGTCTGTGTGGATGGGCTGGTGAGCTTAGGTCGCCCAACTGCTCAGCCTGGGGCCAGACAGGTATGGGGTCTGAATCCTACTAGTTGCAGGAATGAGTTAACCTCCTCAGCTCTCCACCGCATGTAACTTGACTGCATGCTTACAACGCGCTGGGCATGAGCCAAGTGCTCTGTGTGATGACCTCACGTCATCTACGCACAGAGCCATGTCCCCGAGACTCTGCAGCGCGTACAGGGTGCAGCTGGGATTCAGACGGAGGTCTGAGTCCACACCAGCACGGGGAGCGCACTGCTGCCGAGGACGCCTGGTCTGGTAAGTGGGCCGAGAGTTCCAGCGGGAGTTTCTGAGTTCCAGCGAGGGGGCCTACGTACAGCTTCAGTAAGTGGTCCCTCCGGGCTGCTGCCATCCAGCTCCTGCTCTGATAAGCCCGTTGTTAAGGTCGGTCTGATCAATGCTTTGGGGCACATTCTGCTTCCAAGTCCTTTTTTCCAGGTTCTGCCCTCGACTGGCCGCCCTCTTACTGAGCTCTCCTACGCGGGAGCTCCTGAAGGACACACCGTTCCTTCCCCACTGTCGGAGCAGGCGGCTGTCCTCCTGAAGACGGCATGCAGAGGGCGTCAGCCGAGATCCAGCACAGACGCATCGGGCAGCGGCAGGATCCCGGCGTCCACCGGGCCTCTCCGCCCCACTGCAGGCCGGCCCGCAGCCCGCCGTCCCCCCTGCACCCCACTCCACCCGTTCAAAGGCCTCACGCCCGGGCTCCCCCACGGGCCTCTCCCTTCCGACCCTGTGTCCTCAGCCACTGCCAGGCTGCCTCGGAAAAGGCACGCTCTCTCCTTCGCCTGTCCCACAGCGGGGGGCCCTCCAGGAGCCTGCCTTGCCTGCCCCGCTCAGTTGCCTTTCAGGTCCCCCACCTGGCTCCCGGAAGAAATTTCAGAAACAAGTGGCTGTGCTCAGGGCCCCTGCGTAGTCAGTGCTTCAGGACACCCTCCCACAGACTGGACAGCCCTAACGAGGGGCTCTGTCCTAGTTAGACAGGAAAAGGCAGTCGAGGGTCACCCCTAAAAACCTGAGAACCCCCTCCTTAAATCACAGCCCCAATCCATTCGCAGAGAGAACCAGGGTCAGTCACAGGATTAGAAAAATAAAATTGCTGGGGACTCCAGAATTCTGCGGCTGGCTCCCTCATAGAATAAGTTGTGCTCTTCTGCCCCCTGCTGGTGAGAAGCAGCGCCAGCGCGCTGTGGCCTTCAGAGGGGACGCAGACAAAGACAAGTGACTGACAAAGCACCCTCCCGTCCCCGAGACACTCAGGCCGGAGTCCACTACTAACTGGTGAGGGGGAGGCCGCTGCCGGCGAGACGGGAGGGAATGCGCCCACCTGCCCTCACTCACGGGGCTCCGAACTGCTGGGGGCCCAGACCCACAGAGGCGGTGGCTCCGCACTGGGCCTTGCAGGGCGGAAGGCGCTGGGTGGGACGGAGTGAGGACAGCCCGGGCAAAGGCAGGGCATGCTGGGGGACGGTGAGTGGACACGCCGAGCCCCCTGCCGCCACCTGTCCACCCCTGGGTCACTCCGGGGTGGGGGAGCTCGGCGAGGGGACCCCTGAGGTGAAAACACCCTCGTGCTGAGGCGGGGCGCCGGTTTGTTTAAAGGCACCCCTTGGGTCGGGGACGTCCCTGTCCCTCTCTCAGCCTCGGTTTCTCCACTTGCATAATGCCGGAAAGGACCGACGCCTGGGGTTCTTTTGGGTTCAGCTTGCGTTCGCCCACAGGCCCTGACCCCAGAGGGCCGCTGCGCACGTGCCGAGGGCAGACACGCTGCCCGGCCCCATGGCTAGCTGTCCGGGCGGCTCCCCCCTCACACTGGGCGTGCGTGCCTCTCCCGGCCCCTGTCTGCCGTTCTGTCTGGTGCGGCCTGCAGGGAAGGGTGGAAGCTGGCTCTTTTGTCCGCAGAAGTTCAGACGGCAGCTGACTCGCTTCATGTGCTGTTTCCCTGACCTTTCACCGCCCTGAACGGGCCGCAAAGGGCCAACCAACCCCCGCGGAACAGCAGCGTTCAAACACCTCCCCAACGGGGCAGCACTTTAAAGGAGTAAATAAATAAGCCTGCGTCTGAGTATTCCTCTTTTCCCCCCACTTGGAAATTTGTAACATCATTAACTACAAGTAAATGTATCAGTGGGATTAATGGAGTGAATCACAAAGTGACGTGATTGGATTTAGAGCCGCATTATTTCTCTGGGATGAATTAGTAATTTAGCACTGTCAGGGGATGATGGATGGAGAACTCGGGGACTGGGAGTCCTTATTGATCCCGAAGACAGATCAGCAGTGAGGAGACGCTGGAATTACTTCCCTCGAACCGTTTTCAGAGAGAAAGGAAACGTGGCTGCTGCGCTTAACTGCCCAGGAATCACGTTGTCTTTGGGGCTGGGGGCAGAGTTGTGGCCACCAGTGGCAACCAGTGACTAGGATAATCTCCAGGATCCCCACCCCTCAGTATTTGCACCCTGTGGTATGACGACCCCTAGTCCCGAGGACAGACGGGAACCAGTGGCCTCTGTCTCCCACACAGGATGCAGCGGAAGCAGTGAGATGTCACTTCCGAGACTGGGTTATAAGAAGACCGTGACGCCTGTCTCAGGGGCTCGCTCTCGTCCTCTCGTGGGTTGCTCGCTGCAGGGCAGGTGGCCCTGTGGAGAGACTCACGGGAGTGAGCCTGAAAGTGGACCTTCCTCCAGGTGAGCTTTGAGATGACTGCAGACCAGGTCGGCACCCTGACTGCAGCTTCCTGCAAGACCCTGAGCCAGGACCACCAGCGAAGCTGCTCCCGGATGGACCCCAGACCCACAGAAACAGGCCGTGAGATGACTATCTATTGTTCTAGGTCACTACATTTGGGGTAATTTGTTACACAGCAATAGACAACCAAAGCACGAAAGGACTTGCTTTGGCCACTGAAGTGTGACTAGAGACAGTGCATCATTTCTGAGCAGAAGCTTCAGGAGTGAGTGGGCAACGTGCCACACTCTGGTTTCCTGCTCTGGGAACTGTGCGGGCTGGGGTCAGATGAAACTTCTGTGACCACGACGAGCCAAGTGTCACCCTCCGCAGCACTGCCAACCTGCACTAGACATGCAGTGTGACTGAAGAATACATTGGTCATGCAGAACCACGCAGGTCGGGGAACTCTTTGTTAGCGCTGCAAAACCTAGCCCATCCTGACTGCCACACTATTCCAAGTGTGCAAAGGAACTGGGGCACCTGAAGCAATCCAAGAAATACCAGTGCTCTTCCTACTAAGAACACAAAAGGTGTTGTCTGAAAGTTCTGAGACGTGGTCCTGCTTCCTTCTGGAGGCCACCACAACCGCGTCTCAGAGGAAGGACCTCCAAACACCCGGGCTCGTTGAGCCCATGTACACACTTGCACTTCCAGAACACACACTCAACTTTCAGTTTAGACAGTAGGGTCCTCAAGCAGGCTAACAGGCCAGCATTCAGTGAGCACACACACACGCACACACCAGGCACTTCCACCTCTAGCCTCTCATCCGGTTCTTACAACAGCCCCGTGAGGAAGACACAATGACCATCCCCCCTCATTTACGGGTGAGGGGTAAACTCGACCACAGGGACTTCTTCAGCCTCCAAGTAGACACCGGCAGGACACAGACTTCGGTCCAGGCCTCCAGGCCCCCAGGCCCCATGATGCAGGCCCCTTCCTTCTCATCCCGGGTGAGCCCCCCACACCACAGGGGTGCATGCATTACGGCTGCTGCTGAGCAGGAAGGCCCCAGGCCCATGGGCAGTGGGTGCCTTCATGAGGCCGGGGGGAAAGGCCTGAGGATGGCGTTTCAGAAACAGAGATATGCCTTACTTGTATCAATGAAGACAGCATCCACATAGATTTTGGTACAGAAAGAGCCCAGGATAAATCCACAGGCTGGTCCGAACACCAGCATTGTGAACAGGATTCCTGAAAAAGAGACAAAACAAAGATCAGGTTAAAGAAGATAGAGGTCATTCATTCCATGGGCACGAGTTGAAGGTCAAGAAGATTGTTTTATATCAATCCAATGACATGTCTGGTTATACGCATGGTGTTACAGAAATTAGTCTGAAAATCCTCGAGGGGGGAAGCTCGTATTTCTAATTCCTGGAAACTGCGGAAGCACTCTGTACTATGCAAGAGTTCTATCCGTAATATTTTGGCAGGTCTCTCTAAAATACTTGTGGGCCCCAAGCACACCTCCTTTTAGAGGACTCTACCCGTGCATCATGCCAAACACACTCAAATACAGGCACGTCTGCCACTGAACAAGTTTTCTGCCATAAACATTTTTGAGAGAGTTTTGCTTTTTCATTTATTTGGAGTTATATAATTTGTTTAATTTATGGTTGGCTGATGTTTCTCAGTACTCACTGTGTAAACTCAGGTGTCCTTGCAGAGCGAGAAAAACTGAAGCCACATATTACTGTCAAATGTAAAGAAATCTTTACGGGCCTCGAATGCAGCAAGTAACAAAGCTGACCTCACAGCATTCTTTGACAACATTCGATTAGGTATTCATTCATTTCAGTCTTGCAGGTTCCCCGGATTTCGCCGTTGCAACCTGCTGCTGTTTTAACAGTGGGTCAGGTCCCGGGCTTTTCCACAGGACTTACCGAGATGGTACTAGACAGACTTAAGTAGCTGATGGATGTAGTGCCTGCAGTTTGATCATTTCAGAAAAACAGCTCAAACCGAAACCCACAGTCTTTACCCCCTGCACTAAGTCTCACTTTGGCAGACACTCCCCAAGCACTGAGAGTCCTCCGGCTCCTGGAGATGAAGACGAGAATAAAGAGGCGGCCCTTCCATCAGGCTGGCTCCCTGCGGAGGCAATCCGTGTGTGTGTTGATGCGACCCAGGCAGCCAGCGTGAAGGGTGGGTGCTGACGGGTCCACACGGCACATGAAGAACAAGGCAGGAGATGACTGCGACCAGATGGAACCTGAGTTCAATGGAGGGTAATTCCGGCCTGTTCGCAGACAGGGACGCCCTTCAAGTGGGTCGGGCGCAGAGGCGGCTCAGGTCGGCTGTGGCTCTTCCCCACTAGGGGGCGGCATGAGCCTGGAGAATTCAGAGTCCTGGCTGGTGTCCTCCACTTCCCAACTGCCCGTGAAACCTCTGGTCAGCACACTGCTTTTCTCACTCCCATCAGCCTTCCATGCCCTCCGTTTATGCAAATGTATTTGGCTGTCTTCAAATATGCAGGCTGAAATTTCTCCCCTAAAGAGTGTTCCACATCACACATGCATGAATAAAACATGATGTACACACAGCAGGAAGCCTGCAAGACCTAGGACACATAGGTACCTGGAGCCCACTGCCAAGAGCCTGACAGCATGGTGTCACTGACCTTGCCTATCCGTGAGGGCGGGGGCGGGTGGGAGGGATGAGAGGACGAAGACGTGATCATTCACTCAACAGATTCACATACGAGAATTATCCCCACTGCAAAGTCCACAAACAAAACACTAAGTTGCTAAACCCCATGGTACGCGCCAGAGTTTAGGAACCCCTTTCCACAGCATGAGGCCTGCCCCCTCTTAAATCAGCCGTATTGCTGGGTCTCAGAGTTGGCTGCATGCTGGAACCACCTGGGAAGCCTGACCACTATGCTGATACCCATGCCCCACCCCTGAGACCTGAGGTAGCTGGTCTGGGGCACAGCCTGGGCACTGGGGTTTCCCCCGCGCTCCCAGGTGATTCTTTGTGCAGCCAGACGGGGAGCCACTGGTCTCTGTCCTTGCTGACCCTGACCAAGGAACCAGTGGGTACCCCAAATGAACCTGGGCACTCGGGAAAACAGAAGGACAGGAACCCTATCTGACGTCCGTCCTGAAAGGTAGTCGGGCAGCCGGGTACTAACCATGGACAAGGGAGGTCACTGCACAGCGGGGCAGAAGCCTGCTCTCTCCCGTGACGCCGGCCAAAGCAGCCCTGCGTGCCCACAACTGCGTGCTCGGTGCGGAACTCTGCCTGCCATTCCTGGCGTGGCCCGTGGCGCCATCTAGTTTCGAGGCCTGACTCACACTGGTCCTCAGCCCAGTTTTTCCCTCTTCTCCAGGCTCTGAGCAGTGCACCAAGTTCTACCCTCCGTTCAGAATTTGTCTGAAATGCCACCTCCTCCATGGAGTCTTCCTAAATTTTCTCTCTTCTTCTTTCCCATTCCATCTTCTGCCACAGCACCCAATTTGGGCCTGTTCCTATAGTTCTACAAACAGTCTGCCTGGAGGCAAAAATGAAGTTCCACATGTCCCAGCCTGTGCTGGGGAGCTCCAGCTGTGAAACAGGGCAGTCACTTGCCCTGCTGACCTCCTGCTACAGGCTGCATCGTATCCCCACCCTGCCCCCAACCCATCTGGTGAAGTCCTAGTGTCCCAGGACCTCAGGAGGTGTACTTGGAAACTGGACCTTTAAACATGTGATTAAGTTAAACGAGACCATTGTGGTGGTCTCTGTAAGAAGGAGGACTGGTGTCCCTGCAGGAAGAACAGGCACCAGGAGGGCATGCACACAGAGAAGATGCACGTGAGGCCACCGGGGAAGGCAGCCATCTGCAAGCCAAGGAGAGGGGCCTGGTGCTGACAACCTGACTTTGGAATAAATGCCTGTCGTTTAAGCCACTTTGTTACGGAAACCCCAGCACCCAACACAAGTCTCAAGACCAAGACCAGTGTGGGGATCTCACGTGACAACGAACTCGATGATATTTAAAAACTGCCGGTGTCACCCGACGGCACGGGATGCGTCAGACGAGTCAGTGAACGTTAACGGGGCTCTCCCGGACCCCCAGGCGCCAGGCGGGAACCCACGCCGGGCACCCCGTGCGGGGACGAGGACCGCAGGGCGCACACCCAGCAGGGAGCATGCTCTGGAGCACGTCTGCTGAACATCCATCTACACAGGACGAGTAGTTCTCACACAGGCGTGAGCCTGGGGGTGGTCCAAGAGCCACCGAGAACCAGACGAGGGGACACCTTACTCACGGCCGAGGGCTGGAGTCGGGTTTCGGGTCAGGACTACCAGTGGTGGTGGTGCTGGGTGATGTCTGCGCCCTGGAGGGGCTTCGGAACCACAGTCCGTCTTCTCAGGGGCCGCAGGCCCAGCGTCAGGCCCAGGCCCGGCGGGCGGAGCTCCCACAGGCCACTTCCCGGTTCCTGGTGTTCCTCATTCCCCACAGGCCCCGGGGGGTCACCCGAAGTGACCCACTGCAGTCTCTGCTGCTCGGGACGGAGAGCCCACCGCTACTTCCTTCAGGCCGACAGATGCATCGCTAACTGAAGTTAGTTTGTTAACTAACTCCACCAAGTGCCTCTCGGGCGCCGGGGACTTCAGACACTGCCTGTAATTCAATCCTCACAACCCCCAGGAGACCTGGGTCTTTTCGTCGTCAGTTCACAAATGAAGAAACTGAGGCACGGAGAAGTTAGGTCACCAGCCTGTGGCCACACAGCTGGAGAGGAGCTCAGGTCTTCGGGCCCCAATCGTGCACTTCCTCCAACCCACCCCTTGGCGGGAGGAAACGGATTCGGAAAAGCTGCAGGCCGTGAAAATCCTAATAAATTCTACAGCAACCGGTGTCTGCAGGGTCCTGAAAGCCCTGCTCTGAGCCTTAGCCTGCCCGTCGCTTGGAAGCCGAGTGGCGTGAAGGACACAGAGCTGATTCAAGCACATATACACATGCCCATGGGGGACTCTGTCCCTTGCTCAGCGTTGAGGGATCTCTTGCCCTCAGTTTTAATGCATCCTCAACTCAGGGTCTGGTCCACCATCAGTGGAAAAGGGCCAACGCTGAGGCGTTTCCTCGTATCAGCCACCAGAGGGTGCCAGACACCATCTCATGCCAAGTACTGCTCTCCCCCCGAGCGGAGGGAGGTTTGTAGTTCAAGGTGGGAGAGTCAGGCGTGAGCTTCTCTGCAGTGGCACAGGCTGGCTTATAACAAAGCAGTGACCAGGGACATTGGGAACGGGTTGACTGGCTTTCTTAGTAGGTAGTGAGCTCTTCACCACTGGGGGTGTGCAAGAGCAGAGACTGAGGGACTGGGCGTCAGGACTGAAGGAGAGGGTTTTCCTGCTGGGTGGTAAAGAAGGCAGATAATATGGCCCCCAACTGTGAGATTTAAGGGTTTGCAGCTGGGCAATCTTCCAGGAATTTTTCAGGCCTCCTCCCCATTCCAGGCACAAGAAGACTGGGGACCCTTCCCATCAAGTGCTCCACGCACACAGGGGTGAAGTTCCTCCCCAAAGTGAGTCAATGCAACACAGAAAGCAGAACCTGTGTGTGGGGGGGTGCACTTGAAAGTCGAGTCACCTCTGGCCACCCCAACTGCTCTGCAGTCTGCTCTCAAGACTCTGAGGCTGAGTCAATACTGCCTGTTTGAGCTGCACCTCAGTCCCAGAAGATGGCTTTTCTGGAAAATTATATGGGCAGACGCTGAATTTCCCTAAGCAAATATGAGAGCCAGGAGTTCGACTCACAGACTGGAGAACAGGAAAGAGGAGCTACTGAGGAACTGTCCCCTTTTAGGAAGAAACAGGACACAGGGGCAGATGGACGGCAGGACGAGAGACAGCACGGCACCCGCGTGGGCGGGTCCCTGGGTCCAGGCCTCACGGCCTGCCTGAGAGCAGATGGGAGAAACCGTCACAACAGTGTGAGCTGGACCACACACTGGGAGCCTCCTTTCCATGCAACATTGCCTCTGGTCCTGCCCGGAGATGAGGGGACGGGACACAACTAGGTAAAGCCAGGAAACAGAGCCTGTCCTGGCTGGGTGGCCCAAGGGAGTGCATGGGACTCTTCCCACCAGAAGCTCTGGGCAGGCAGCAACCTGAGCCTCTACTTTAAAAAAAAAAACTTGTGCAAGGAGGATGACCGTCTCAGTTTTGACACCTGACAGGCTAGAGCTCAGGAGCAGTCTCTCAAG